CCCTATGCCCTGCGCTCGAAGGTGAACCATGTTAAGGTTTAATTTGCTTGGTTTAAAGCCTCTCTGTACATAAGAGAATAAGTCTGAAAAAGGTATATTAAGTTTTTTCTCATCTTCCCCTTAACCTTCTTTTCTGCAAGTCTGTTCTTTATTATTCTGGCTCTTGAGGAGCTCTGAGATACCAGTTTATGAAGTATTTCTAATTAATACAACCCTCTGACCTTTGCTTTTGAAGACAAATTTGTAGCTGTAAACAGCAAAATAACAAAAAGCAACCCCCAAAATACTTTTGTCTCAGCTGGTTTTAACCACAAATACAAAGCAGGAGACTTCATGGGAAAAAGTCTCCAAAATATGATTCCCATGGAGAAGCAAGAGATGAACAAAATAGGAAAAGCATGGTTTTACACTGATAATTTAAAGTTTGAAGTTAAGATACTTGAACTCTGACTTCTTAGTGAAAAGAGGGACTCCCTGTCTCTGTCAACACCATGATGTGGAATGATGCCCAAGGCAGTTTGGAGTCCCTGACTGTATCTTGCCTTTCCTATTTTGTTCATTCCAGAATGTAACTACCTGTCTTTTTCAGACTGAATGGAGACACTGGGCACTAAAGATTGCCTTTTGTTAGCAGAAGCAGACTCTATAAGCTATTGTGCTGTTAATTTTTTCAGTTATCTTGGCTTCCTTAATATCATTTAGCTATTTCTTTTCTTTATGGGCACCTTATTCTGCTTGATTCTGTTTCACTTTGAACCTCCATTGATGCTGAGGATTTAACACATTTTTTATCACACTGTGCAAAATGCTGATGGAATCTTTGTGCAGACTCTCTGGCAACAGAAAAAGGTTATTATTATCACCCCCTTTGTATTCTATCTCCAGAAATCTATGCACATGCTTTGTAGCCACCCATTTTGCACAGGAGCGTGAAGAAATCATTTTGTTTTACTCACTACAAAAGCACTTTTTTAAAAAGATGTGTCTTTATAATTGTCCATTTTTAAAACCGGTGCATGCATAATGCACTGCTTTGAAAAGGGTTTTGAATGATTTGCTCCAATTATCCAAACCTTACCTCTCGGGCTGCTGCTCAGCTCAGAGGTGAAACCATCCACAGTGAAATCTGAAGGTCTGGATTAGATTTAAATGTAGAAGGGAAAGAATTCCATTCACTGAGGGCAGTGATGAAAGAGCTGCACCCACAGCCTGTACCAGTCATCCAATTACTCCGTTCCTGGCGTTTTCAAGGATGCTAAACCCACACAGAGTTTTTGTGACCTCGATCCTCTATCTGTAAAGGCAGACAAGAAAGGGTGAGCTCCCTTTCCTCCCCTCTAAACAGTTTCCAGACTTCCATTAATTCAATCTGCTTTCTCTCTGCTAGCCTGACTTCTCAGCTATCTATGTTAAGGATCAGCAACTATCCCAATTAAAAGGCGATTGACTGAAATTATCCGGCAATATTTCTATGGAAGCAGCGGGTTCGCTCAGGGTACTCCAGCCAGCCATGCAGCCAGTCCCCATTTGCACACAAATAGCAGCTGGATATTAAGACATCGTTGTGATATCTGGATACTGCCCATATGCTCCCTTCGAGAGGCTGGAGAGACTTGGAAATGGGATTAAAAGAAAATAATGAAATAAACCAGCAAAAGACTAAAAATACTGTCTAGCGAGTGGATTGGTTTATTATGCTCTGCATTCCTCCAAATTCACTCTGCAGTCAGGACACATGGGGTTTGAATAATTTTCTGCCTTTACACCTTCCCTGCCACAAAAAGTAACACGGTGATGATTTTCAATAAACAAATCTGCTCTTTTCTCGCAGGGTTTGTGTACACTCGGAATGCATTTGTGACATCAGATTTTCACCGGGGAAATGAAGAAAGACAACAAACCCAACAACCCACATTTATGAAAACCCAAGAAACCAAGCTGGCCTTTTTGAAACATGGTATGACTGGGGAAAAAAAAAAAAAAAAAAAAAAAAAGGAAGAAATGCCTATCATGTTCTTAAAACATCCAGTACAAACTGGGAAGTGAGTGAAAAAGGGCTTTCCTACTGAGGCTGCCTCCAGCTACCATTCCTCTGAGCATGACTTCATCAACTGTGCACTGAGGATGCTCTCAGGCCAAAATTTAGAAGGTCAAAATGAAGGAAAAGCATCACAAAAAGAGCCCATGGAAGAAACCTTCTGTAAATTAAGAAGGATCACTGGGCCATATTAGATTCTTTTTCTCTCTTTTTTTTTTTTTTTTTTAATTATTTTATTTTTTAAATTCATCTATTTCTCTTATATTTAGACAATAATTCCTATTCCCCTTCTTTTGAATCTCTGCAATGTACAAACTCTGTGTTTGGTTGTAGGCAGGTTGAGAAGTGTAGTTGTGTATTAGACCTGTTGAAGCTGGAAGACACATCTTTAGTGAGTGAAAACCATACTTTTATAAATTACACACAAATACTACATTCCAAAAACTCACAATGGGTGAGAGGAATCACTCCCATCACCAGCCCTGCCCATTACTGTGTTAGGGTTCCTTGGAAATAGAGCTCTGAGAGCAAAACTATCACACAAATTAAATAGAGTTTCCATTTTTTCATAAGGCCTGAGTGATGCAATCATAAATATTTGTCACATTCAGTATAAGCCTTTGGAAAAAACTGTCTGGAGTCCATTATCTTCACTTTTCCAGATGCTTTTAGGTCACTTGGAAAGAACAAACATTTTCTTCCACCTGCAGCCCAAAAGAACAACAAAATCACTTCAGAAGAAAAATCATACCTATAGAGCCACTTCCCTGTCTGTTTATTCTTCCTTTCAGGCAGCGACAACACCTGTAAGAGACACAAGTAGAAATCACCTCTTCTGCAGTAAAAGCCCACTTTATCCATCAGAACCACACTGTCACTTGCTCACGAATCGTATACTCTTGGTTTAATAGTTAGGTAAATACTGCAGTGTCTGGATCCTGCAGAAAAGTGTATTTGAAGAATGCACTCAATAGTAAAAGACAGTAATAACCCTGGGAAATGCTTTTAAGGAAAGCCAGGCCCTATCAAACTCTCCTGGCTGCAGGTGCTATTACTGCCTCGGCAGAAATTGGCTCTGACACCAGTGAGAAAGGACAGCCCAATTCCTTAAATAAGATCACTAGGCAGGACTGTCACTTCCACTTCAACTGGACTGGCTCAGGAGAGAATCCCTTGTAGGAGAATTTCCCTGGTAAGAGTAAACTAACAGTTTGTAATGTGTCACCCATAACAATTACAGTTACTATTTCTATTAAAGATTGTTAATATCTCTACTAAAGATGAGCTGGAGACAAACCAGGATCTAATTCTATTTAGACCTGCATGCCTAGACAGATAGGAAAATATGTTCACTCAATGGAGATTTTTCCTTAACTCCAGCAGAGCCAGGATTTCCCACTGAATGTTTTAATTTCCAGGATATCAACTGCAAGTGCATCACTAGAAATAACATTAATGACTTTCAGTGCAGTGCTAAAATAATTAGAGGCAGAGCAATTGTCCAACATTCATGCTTATACCAAGAAAAGACTGAGTAAAATCATGCAAAGCTGCATAGCCTGAGGGGAAAAAAACCAGAAAACAAGCAGAGGGGTGAGGTCTAAATCAAATATGAAGCAATCTATATTTTCCATTAAAGCCATTGTGAAATTGGGCATTTTGCAAAGGTCTTGATTGAAAACCATGTGAAAGTTAATGGGTTTGACTCGAATGATCCTCATCACTCCAATAAGAAACAAGGAGAAAGCAGACCCACAGGAGCAGAACTTGAAAAAACCCTAAGTGCAAAACCATACGACAGAAAAGAAACAATTTTAATAGCTCCAGAAAAGAGTATAAATTGCTTTGTTCCCACAATCAGAAAGAGATTCAGCAGTGCAGATTCTCATTAGAATTTCAGCCCTATATTTCCTTTTTTTTTATAAACAGCATATCAGTAACATTTACCAATATTGTTTCAATATGCGGAAAGCTTTATTATCTATTCTTTGACACTTGGTATTTTTCTAATTCCTTAGTTTTAATAAAAAGCAATAGAGATGTGTACTAAAGACTCCATTTTTATAATGTGGCTGAATTGAAGGTTAATTAACAAATTCATATCTGTCAAAAAATCCAATATCTTTTGTACTCATATTTCTGGGTTCTTTTGTGGTCAGTTTAATTAAATCTGTTGATAAAATAAAGGTGGAGGGAAAAATAGTTTAGGCTAGGTTTTACAAAGGCAATTAGTAGTTAGTGCCCATTAAACTAGAAAAGGAATCAGCACAGTAATTTTCTAGGGCATCTTTCTTAATGTTATCCTTGAAATTTTAGCATAATCAGAGAAGAACAAGGAGTCATCATGATCCAAAAGAGCTTCCTGTCCTCTTCTCCCCCAAAGGAAGAGACAAAAAATATTACTGAGGTGCTGAAAACCAGGAGTTCAGAGTTGAAAAGGCTGCTGACAACCTCTCGTGGTGCTTTGTTTCAGAAGCTGTGATTTCAAGAGGAAGCAAAGTGGGTCCTAAACGCTACTGATAGTTGAAAATTAGGAGATGAAGAACACTTCAGAACGTTTAAGTGTGGTAGGTATGATTACAGCAATCAAAATGCTGCCCAATTTTGCTACAGTTTATCTTTGACAGCAAGATTAAGGGGGGGGGGGGGGGAAGCAAAAAAAAAACCCTCTGATCCTAAATTGTGCAGGATGCATAAATGTTACAAACACTCCTGACAGGGGTCCACACAGGCAGTTGACCCTAAAGGTAACATGGTATTTATCTTGTTTTGTACTTTCGACCAAAAAAAGATTCCAGCTGCTTCTTCAAGAGAAGTTTCTCTCTTACCTTATGATCTGACCCAACTCCTCGTCAAGTTTGGTATTGCAGACTGACCAGTTTATCACAAAATACCTGCAAAACAAAGAGGTTCCACCCAGGTGCTTGTTTATGTAATTCACTGGCCTGTAATGACCTGTACATATTGTATGGTTGGTAAAGCAGCAAAGTAATGTTTGTCCTGAGACTTGCATTTGGTCTCGTGACCGTGAGAAGAGTCTGTGCTGCTCCAGAGAGTGAGCACTCCCTGGGCACTTCCTCCTGTGCAAACCTCCTCCTCGCTGAAGACACAAAATCTCCCAGGATCATTGCATAAACCTCTCCTCCTTCCCCACCAAGTGCCAAACAAATCCATAAGTACACAGTGGCACTAACAAGAAAAGCTCCAGTGGAGCCATCCACAACTCGATCTCCTCACACAGCAGAGGCCAAGAGAATAAACAACTGATGACAAACGTTAGGTCATTCTCACCTTAAGCCAAAGTAAGTGTGTGCTGCTGCCAAACGCGATTCCTCTCTTCCTTCTCTCTTCCTTCTCTCAGCTAACTCAGCCAGCTCATCCCAATTCAGCAGGGAGCTGTGCTGCACTAAGGAACTATGAAGGGGTTCAACAATGGCTCGTGTGGTGTACTAAAGACACCAGAAAACAAACAAATAAACAAGCAGAAACCCCACAAGGGAAATAAACAAACCTGAGCATTAAAGGTAGTACCCAATGCGGATTAAAAATACAAATAAACAAAGTAACTTCACGTGGGTTTTATCCTAATCCCTGGGAATGAGTTGAGCATGAGTGTCCACAGGCCTTGTTTGCTACCCTCTAAGGTGAGAGGATACAGAATTGAAATAAAGTCTTACAGCAAATAATTAGGACAAAAACTACAGACCCAGAAATTGTAATGAAAAACTATGAATTAAATGAAAGCCATACAGTTGGGAAGCAACTAAACATCATTCTCAACTTCTTGCAGGAATTGAAGGTAAACCAATAGAGGTGTGTGAAGCTCTCAGGACCTGTACCCCAAGCATAGCAGTTAAACGGCAGTAAATTTTCTTGCAATAAATTGGAAGATTTTAAGACCCAAAGGGATCAGTGTGATCGACAGATTTGATCTTCCATATAACAGAGATCAGAAAATGTCATGCAGTGATTTTTACATCACATCTAAGGAGTTTTAGGCTACAGAAGAGTATATATTCAGCTAAGGTATCCAGACCCAGCTTCCAAGATTTAGAGATATGGAGTGTTCACTGCCAGCCTTCTAAAAATTGATCTACCCGCCCTTATTGCTAAGGAGGTTTGTCCAATATCCACTTCCAACAGATCTTTCTTCAGTAGAGGAAGCCACTGCTGTTCACCCCCAGCTTTTTATTACCCTCTTCATTTTCTCTAAGCAGTAAAATATGAAGCATATTTCACGAAGTGAAATAAATAATGAGGTTGAAATAAATTCCACAGAAAAGGAGGTGCTTGGCATTGCTTCTGACTGCCACTGTCTGGGAGAATCAATGGGAGACAGTCACAGTCAGATATCCATTGAGCACAGAGTGCATTAGTAATTGCTTTAATCATCTTTCATACAGTGACCATCACTGCTGTGTTCTCCTCTGCTCAGACTGTCTTCCCTCCCTTCCTCATCGGAAGTGTTCCATCACACCGTTTCCCTCGGTGCAGACCAAGCACAGCGAGCAGCAATGCTTGCCACTTTATGCTTTAGGAATTTCTGTAGGTTTAACAGTTTTAAAACAGACATTAAGCTGCTCTTTCTTGTGTGTTTTTTTCAGCTGTGAAAATGCCTTTAAAACTCCTGAATATGCACCATTTGACCTACTGAGCCTAATAATTTAGTGGCATAAACCCTTAAATATGAAGTCAACACTTCGTTTAGATAAAATGTCAACAGTGTGTAGGCAACAAGCTGACATAAATCCTAAAGAATTTAGCTTTTAAAAAGCCTTAATTCCATCTTTACTCCAATTCTCTGCAGAAGGACCTTTTCACAGCTTTATATGGCACTTTAAGCTGTGTCAGCACGAGTGGTAGCTTAAAGGTACAGCAATTAAATTATGAGCAAACGTATGTAAAAACACAGTGTAAGAACATTTCCAAAAACGGACCTTACAGGAAATCAATACATTTTCACTGAGGTAGATTGCCCAGCATCATCAGTGAATGAATTTTACTAAACCAGCTGTAGCAAGAGAATCAAACCCAAGCACCACCACGGAAAGCAATTATATTCATTAGGAACCCACAGGACCATTTCAAACGATGCAGCTTTCCACGAGCAGCTCTGCAGCTCCAGGGAGAGTCCCACTGCAATCTCAGCTCTACCAGGCTGCAGTTCCATCTCTGTATACTCAAAATAACAATAATAATTAAAAAAATCTAATTCTTGGGAATTATGGGGATTGTTGTTTTTCCCAAGCAATGAGTAACATTATCGTAACTTGAGGGGAAAAGGCTGGTGAATCAACATTTTCTTTATTAAGTTTATTCTAGTCCTGGTCTTACACTGATCTTTGAGGAAGGGAAGTCTTTTTTTCAGTGGCTTCAGCAGCATCAGAACAGGAGCACCTATTGCTGGTTTTAGTGAGGTTGAGAGATACTTACTGCAATTTTTTTGAGCAAAGAGTTGAGGTCTCCCTTTAAAAACAAGTATTACAGATTAGTATTCTTTCTTTCTGAAGCATACAGCATTTTACAAGGAAACTTAATGAAGTAGGCTTGAAGGTATTTCCTTTAATATATTTCAATAAAAGAAAGTATAAGCCAGTAAAGTTGCTCATGTAAGCATTGAGGATTTAAGGAATTACTTAAACAATGAATGTATGAAGCTATTAACCTTCCTGGAGAATTAAAACGTGCCCCTGTGCGATGAATCAAAAGCAGCAGTGATTTCAACTCTGAAGGACTGGTTTTATACATGTGACTGAAACGTAATTAAAGAAACACGAAATTGTGCTGCATCCAGAGAAAATTAGGCCAAACTTCTAGACCATGGGAACACCTTAGCAACAGCTTTTATTGGGTACATTCATACACCAGGTACCTCTTGGCCATGGCACATCCCCAGGAAGGTTATATTCTAGTAGCTGGCCTCAAGTGAAGGCACAGTCTAGCGAAATGAGCGATTTGGAAGTTTTATTTCTTTGCAATATTCTGCTATGCTGGAAACATTAAGAGGATCTTCATGGCTAAGTAAAATTTTGCTCATGCACAGCTTATTGCATAAAAGCAGTAGCAACAAAAAGCCCTGATAGGAGACTAATCTGGGTACAGGTTATCTGCATAATGTCAGGTATTTAAAGGGAAATTTTATAATAGGAAAGGTTTAGAAAATTTAAAACACTTTCTCTCTGACACAGGTCACAGGAATGTTCTCTGTTTAAACCTGCTGGAACACTGAGACCGTGAGATTAAATAAAACATAAAAAGGATAAGAGAATTACCATATACTTAAAAGAAGCCACAAAACCAAAACCCAGAGAGCAGAAATGAGAACAATAAGAGGTATTTTTTCAACTCACTGAAGCGTCCTCCTGCTTAAGGAAGCCTATCCTGGTGTCCTTTTGCATGTCACCGGTTTTGTGTGTCCCCATCAATTCATTTTCCACTGGTATCATGATTATCTAATTAGCATCAATCTGTCACTGTCAATTAGGAACTCAGGAGATCTTCAGGTTCTCTTAAAGCGGTCACTTGGCCAAGAGATAATATCAAAACATCATTACCACACCATTTATCAGGTTGGCTTTTTTAGCTTTTACTAATGTGTTCATCTCCTGAGTCTTCTGGATGTTTATGAATACAACATATTCATTTTTTTGCTAATTATATCATACTCTGCCTGTGCACTACCTACACAATTAATACCATTTTTGTATCTGCTTGGAGCTGGCCAGGAGCTCCTATACAAACGATAATTAAATAATGTGTTAAAAAGATGTGCAACTGCTCAGGGGCTGTATGCAAACAATTGCTGCTCCTAGGAACTGAAACATAACAAGCTGACTTTTAAAGTAAATTTAGATCTATTTTGCCTCTTGATAAAAGATCTTTCTGAATGATTAATTTAAATATTTTTTCAACCCTTCATCAAGATAGATGCATCTGAACAGGTGAAAACCTGGGCATCCTCTGGAGTTTAATGAGTGCCCCTCTGTCCCTAATGCCTGTGAAAGCTCTGTAGAGACAGACATCAGTTATTATTTGGCATCAGCCCTGAGTTGTGTCCTGTCTCTCAGAGCAGCCTGAGTGGATGACACAAGCAGGTTTATACTAAATCTATAAGTGAGTGTACCAAAGCCATCATTTCCTTGAGGAGTGTGACAAGAGCACAAACCAATCTACTGCTGCACGTTACCAGCCATGGACACATGAGAGAGCTGGGGCCTTGCTGTGTGGCCTTGGAAACCTTTCACTGGGGAAAGGAGTAGAGGTGCTGGACTGCCCGTGTGGGATGGACAGAAAGAGTTGAGTGTTAATTCATGGAATAGAGTGCTGTTATCCCAAACAGCCTCTTTGCACATCTGCCTTCTTTCTTCTAAACATTTTCTAATGTTTACTTCATAACTTTCCTGCTTTTGACCCTTAGAGGGCCATAGCTCAATACTATCTTGTACAAACTTTGTGAGGTAAGTACTAGGAGCTTCTCACGCCTTTTTTTTTCCTCTTATCTTAATCTCCAATGTCACTTACTAAGCACCTCTAGTGAGAGAATAATGCAAAAGTCAAGGGATTTTTTAGTAAGTCCATCGAAGGCTTCCCTGGGAATCACAGCCCAGAGCTGTGCACACCTCATGGCACTAGCTGCACTATTATCCTCAGGCACTTATAAATTTCCACAGGCTCCAGCCCTCCAAAAGGCATTACAGAGCCTGTGGGAAACCCTGCTTGGCAGATACAGGGACAGACGGATGCGCCAGCCCCGCTGTTGCTTGAGCCAGCAGATGCGATGCACAGCACCCACGTGCCTCTTGCAGCCTTTAGAATGAGCAGTTGGAGGAGCGACACACTCAGCAAGTTTATTTATATTTTGAAACACAAGTGAAGTGCTTCACTTTCCTCTGAAGCCACCAGGGACACTCAAATCCCATTTAAACCTCTACCTCTCTTCTCTGCTGCTACTGTTTTGATTGCTGTGTTATCTTCTGTATAAATCTGCATGGAAGCAAAACCTCCTGTATCTCTCCCTTCAGGTCAGCCCAGATCAGGTCACTTTTATATTTACCTTACTTCTCAAAAACTTGATATTTTTGTTAGCACAGCTTTATATCCTATTTTATTAGTTCTGGCTTTTCAGAAATCTACCCAGATTTTTCAGAAATGGACCTCTGAGTCCTTTTCTATCTCTATTAGATGGAAAGAGGAATAATTATTATTATAAATATAAGTTGCAATTATATCAACACCAATCTGTTGATGAGATAATAGTGTTGGCCTAGGCATGGGGTTTGATTGTGACAGCTCATGGATGCAACAGTGAATAGAAGAGTAAAGGGTGAGTTAAACTTCTCCACATCAGGGTCAGCAAGGGCTGGTGAAACAAATATTTAACTCCTGAAGAGTTAAGTTGTCCAAGCAGTACGTTCTGCAGTACATGATGAAAACTCCTGTCCTGTATTGAACAGGACTGGGTTCTGCTTAGGAGTCAGCAAAGAATAAAAGACACTCCAGAATGGGAGTCTGGCATTAGGCCTGAGAGGAGAGGTTTTGCATCAAACCTGGAAAATAAGGGTGGAAAATAAGTCCAGAAAGACAATCTTTTCCTTGCATAGAACATTGAGCATTACTGCATATTTTATAAGCACGTACCAGCGGTTGTCTCTTAACTTTCACTGAGTGCTGTTGTCCATAGTAAGCTACACCTATGAACAAAATCCATGAGGAGAAAACAGCATGAAAAGACAGATAAATTAAAAGGTTTGTCCCCGAAATCACACACCTTCAATTGGAAGGGAAGATTTTAACACACCCACTCTTTTGTTGCCTGGTCAAGTGGGAGTGGAGTGACAAAGCACAAGCAGTTGGCATCCCCCAAACCCGACCTGTCTGCCTTGGAGGGCAGGAATAGTTATAAGGAAGCCACCTGGAAATCACAGGCTGAGGTCACCCTGCATTCAGCAGCCATTTTGACACTCTGTAAATGAGGGCTCCTGGCTATTGGGCACAAACCTTCCCCCCAGCCTCCTTCTACTCCGAGCACTAAGTGCAGTTTAATTCCAATATTCCTATTCTCTGGGTAACAACATGTCGTTCCTTATATACGTCAGGGATTTGGGCCAACACATACTTGAGGCTTTTGCCTGCAGTAACAGGTAATACACAAACCCAGCTCTTGGCCAAATCTGCCACACTGAACAAATTTGACAGGGGAACCACTGGTGCAGAATGAATGCAAATCAGGATGCCAGTTTATTTTCCAGTCAGTTCTGCACATAACTAGAATCTAATCCAGTTATGGTAAATAGTGAAAGTCTGGATGTGAGGGTGAAACATATGTAAATTGCCATTGTGATTTTTTTAAAGTAAACTAGAATCCAGCAAATGCATCTCGTTTCATTATTCTCTGCAGCAGAAAATTCAGTTGCCAAGAGAAAATTAAAAATAATAATACTAGCAACACGCATTTTACAAATGCATCCCGCTTCATGAAAAATAAGGTCCCTGGATGCTATGGAAGCCAATAAATTATTGCACAGGCTGTATGCAAAGTATCTCGGCGCTAGGCAGAGTAGCTGCTCACATATAAAAAAATGAAAGCGTGCCACTTCAAATCTGAGCACAGCGCTGTCGGTGTGCTCTGCACTTTTAATGAAGCTTTAGAAGCAATCATTGATGACTGTGCAGAAGCCATGTCTGCTGCCAGAGCTGTCAGGTTACATAAAGGCCTAGTGGGAAACCAAGAGAGATGGCCCCCGCTCCTCGGTGCCCAGGAGCTGTTTGGTGGGGAAGGCAGGATGAGAGGGGATGCCCTGCTCCCCTGCCAGCCCCCGACACGCCTTTCAGGAGCGCCACCGACGGACACCAGGGCACGGCTGCCTCCTCTGTCGAGGTTCTGAAAAGCAGACTTGTTGGAAGCTGAGTGGCTGTCTAGCCAAAATGACACCGTGCTGCTGAGGGCATTTTTAATGGAGGAAGTGCTGAGAGCTCACTTTTCCTTCTCGCACGGCCTTGCAGATCCGGTCAGGTGGCAGCACAATTTACGCATTCAAATGGAAACGCAGCACATGGACTAAATTAAGCCCTAGGAAGGTTTTGCCAAACCACAGCTGGCTTTGGGCGTTATTTACTCTAACCAGTTTTAAACCAAAATATTTACGCAGCTAAAGACCAAAAGCAGAAGTTTGCTCTCAAAGAGCCCCACAGAAACTGTAGAAAATACTCTATGCTAACACATCAGTCAGGAGCCATTCCAGAAAAAAAGCCAAGGTTCTTTAACCGCAAGACATGAATTTAAAATCCTCTCAAAGGTTGGTTGCTTTTGTTTTGTTTTGTTTTTTAAATTTCATGGCACTTTATCAGCGACTCAGTATTTTGTTAGAGAAAATGAGATGACGCCTAGAAATATAAAGGATTCCAAAAGCATAGCGGGGACAATGCAGTGTAGCTCCTGAGTCCTTTTCTTGCAGAAAATAAACTTGTTTTTCTGTGTAACCCTGTTACATTGAAAACAAAAAGATTTGTGAAACTCTCACTAATGTGGGCACCTACTGAGCAACTGCCTTTGCCTGACGTATTTTTCTGCATTGCCCTCATTTCACACTTCCTCAGTTCTATGCCCAAAAACTGCAGAAGCCAAAATACAGATTCTCAATGGTTCCTCCTGTGCCCCTCAGGCTCCTACCATTATCACCTGATTTAGGATCCCACACTGTACACTGTTATACAAAGCACATTTTTAACAGCTGACTTAAAATTCAAGAAACTGAGAAATCACTCCAATCATGGGCAATGTAAAATATGCAGAACAAATAACAACACTCACCTTTTCTCGCCACGTGTTCATCAGAAGCAGAGAGGAGCTCCTTAGCTTTGAGAAGCGGCGCCCAAGTACCATGTTTGTGACCACCGACTACAGGTATTCCTCCCTGTTTGTGTAGCAATCTTCATCTGCTTTCAGCTGCCATAAATTGAAAGGTTACAGGGTTTAAACCATTTCCTAGTTATGATATGTCCATCAGGCAGCAACAGCTGGGCAATAAACTTTTAAGCCATGAATGTTTCTGAAAGCGGTAAGTTCACGGCCAAAGCCATAACTACGTAGCATCAATTGACGTCCAAAATGCAATCTAGCCACATAGTTCCCTTTAACACCAGACCATATCTTACATTGCAAGGTACTTACCAGCAGCCTCCAGGTTAAATAAGATGGGTTAAGGTCAGGTGGGATGGCTCCGAAAGGCTTTGGCGAGTCAACCTAAGATTTGTGGCCTCCTCTGAGCCTCCAGCGCTCCCTGATTTCATCCCCCTTCTATCGAACACTCTCAATATCACTTTAGACTGGATATTGAAATCACTTAGCAGCAATAAAAAAGAAAAGTGCCGCAGAATTGAATCACATTTTGCTCAGCACACATCTCTAAACTATTACCAGTGTGAAATGAAATCTAATGTCTCCCTTAGCAATCCCATCTTCTTTGTCCCTTTGTTTTTCTAGGAGCGTTATGATACACTAAATCCATTTGGACACACTATAGTACACGGGTTATACCAGAGATTTCAAGAAGAGTTTTCCAAATTTATGTAGCCACTGCATCAGGTTGCTTTTCAGCCATCTCACTGTCACATAAAATTCCATTAATAAAAGTAGAAAGAGACAATGCAAACACCTCAGTTTGGGCTGGGGTCCTTCGTTTCTTTCCCAGTAGCTGCTGTGGGGTTGTGGTTTGGATTTGTGCTGGAAACAGTGCTGATAATTTGGGGATGTTTTCATTATTGCTGAGCAGTGCTCAGCAAAGTCACAGCCTTTTCTGCTCCCCTGTGACCCACTTCTTTTTTCTTCCTTAGGTTAAGTCTCATGGCAGTAAAAACCAGAAAATATGACTGAATCTCTGCAGTTTCTTCTAATGTCCTCTTGAGAGACGTGAACTCTACCATGGTGCAAAAACTGTACAGAAAATGTGACCAGCTGAAATCCAGATGCTTCCACTTTAATGGGAAAAACAGGGCAACTGCTGTGGGCCTGTGCTGTCTGAGCTGCACCCTCTCAGTACTGCCAAATGCTCCCTGATATTCACAGCCTTGCTTTCCTGCTGCTCATGATGCCACCTCTCTCTCTCCAACCACATCTCCTCGTCCACAACATTGGAAGTTTTGCTGCAATAATGCACAAGGCAGGTGACTGATCTGCAGAGCCAAGCAACTGATGAATTTGCAGGGCAAGTGAGGATACAACATGCCCCAAGGAGGAGCTTTGGGGGAGGATTACTGTGTTGTCAATTATTGAGAACAGATGTAGCTTACAGAGCTTGGGCGGAAAGCTCATCTGATTGCTCTTGGCCAAGTTTAGATGATGGCTAGTCAACAAAATGCCATGCCCAAGAGACTGTGAAACTAAACCCTCCGGAAACATGTCCAAAGAATAAACCAAGTGTAAGGCAATACTGCACTAATAAATCAACTGAGCCTCTTAACAGTAACAGAGTCAGATGTGCGCATAACGATTGTGTTTAAACCATCTGAGGAGCTTGTCAAAGCTGCTCCATCAAAATAATATACGTAATGGCTTGCATGGGATACAAAGGATAGTCACCGCCTAGTTTTTCTGATATTTAAGAAATGCTATTCCTTTTTGTATTAATGAAGATTGCAGCCTCTCTAGGCAGCTGCCTGTTACAGAGTCTTCTTGGATAGCATTTTTAACTCCTCACTATTATTTCTGGAGTGCACCAGTTCCAAAAATGTCACGAAGACAGGATCTGGCGTGGTGAGCCTTTGACGCAGCTCATGAGAATCATAGACTGAGTGGATACAAAGTAAAAACTCCTAAATAAAAATAAAACACTGTTGGAAGGGAAGCTTGCTAAATATCTGCACTGCTAATCTTGGTCAGTCAGCAAGAAAGGTATAGAAAATATAGAAGGACACAAAATTAGCAAAATACAAGCTGAGGGTGAATGCTATTTAAAATATGTATCTGTTCTACAGAAAACAACAGAGTGAATATATTGCCTAGTAGAAAGTAATGAAGTATTTCTTGGTAGGATCAGTACATAAGTTTTCTCAATCTGACTTCCAAACAGAACAGGTCAATCGGTGCTGGATCAGAACACGAAGCTCTACTTGCACTAAATAGTATCATCTTATGGTGTGGAGCAAGGTAACTTCTGGCAAGAATAAGATTATTACCATTTGTCCTTTCATTCCTGTTCAAAGTTCACCAGAATCTTACTGGAAATTGTACTTTCCTCATTTGACTTTCCATCTGTTAAATAAAATTGCTGCTTAAATGAAAGCACTGAACCTGGTTGCCCAAAACCATTTTGGATGACTTTGTAACTGTACATTCAATTTCTCCCACTGGCATAAGGCATGATTTAAGCAAAGAGAAGACTTACAATAGCATAGGAAATGGAGTACACTGGCCAATTTGACACTGAACATCAGGAACCACGAGTGGTCAGGAGTAAAGCTCTGCCCACAAGGGGAACTCCCAGCTAAAAACCTAAGCCAGCAACTGCCCACATCCCATACATCCCCTGTAGATGCACCTATCTCAGACATGGGAGACCTTTCTCTGTCCTTTTCTCACCCTGGACCTCACCTTTGATTCTCTGCATCCCAGGTGACAAGAAAGTTTTTCTCTTTCCTGAGATGGCTTCCCTTTTTCCATTATTTTCTTAAACAAACAACAAGTCAAGAAAATGAAAACAAGTGCCAAAAAAAGAAAAAGAGTCCTTGTTTTCCAGCCCCAACATAGATTGTAGGATGCAAAGTAAATGTTTTTACTTACTTTTCCCTGATTAGACTTGAATTACTAGTATTAATAACCACTGTAATTTGCAGTTAGTTCCCTGGAAGGAAATTTCACGCAGAAGTCATTCATTTTTCTTTTGTTTTTCTGTTTCCATAGGCACAGGAAGCAGAGCAAAAAAAAAGCTCTCAGGAGTCCTTGGGTGACGAACAGATGGGTGGAAGGAAAGGTAGAATGTGCCTTTCTAAAATGCAGGTGTGGGGCTCATACCTACACCAGTTCTCTCCCTTCTATTGTGCCATATTTCCAGGAAAAGGATGTTCTAGCTTAATGTATGGGTTTTTCTGTAAATGAATAATCTGGGTGAAATCCTCTTGTCACAATTTATATACTGATAATACCCCCACTGCAAACAACGGTGAAAAGCTCTTTTAATGGAAAAATTTTGTTTCACCAGGTACTAAAAGTTAGACCCCAGTCAAGATACCAGTCAAGGTTCTATTTGTGTCTCTAAGTAGAAGTATATGGCAGACAACCTTTTTAAGTCATCTACAGGCTCTGTAAGTTATAACAGCATCCTAATGTCAAAATTAAATTTATTTCATAAGGCATTGCCTCTTGAAGTACCTTTTACACATAAATGTAAAGCGAGACTATTAGCATGGCTGTTAGACCATAATAAAGGATGTTCATGACTTGTCTCTTAATTATGCTTTTTCACTCTCATACTGTGGCAGTACAATTCCCTTTTCAACCACAAACCATGTTCATGACATACATATAATGCAATAAAATTGGTGCAGATAAGAGCAATGGATCACATTAATCTGTGTGATTGAACCAGAGACAATGCAACTGCAGAGAATTTGTGATTCAGTGAGTCTCTTTCAGAAGGTTTTGAAAGGTCCTATTGCTGCAGATAATGTTTTCTGTTGGGTTTGTAATTTACAGAATGCATGTTTTCTATAAAATGACACACGAGCTTCCTTTCAACCACAGATGAAACGAGACATCCCTGGCACTTGTTAACCGGGTCAGCGTCAGTGGCAATTTAGTGCCATTGCAATTAATCTGATAGAGCAAAAAAAAAAAAGCATCGTGTCTTGGATCAATGGTACAGCTGATTTCAGAAACCCTCCCCACCCCAGAAGCACATCCAGCTGGATTTTGGTAGGTGTTGGAATGATGTCCATGGAAGAGTCTCTAGCTCTGGAGTAGGGTCAAAACATCCCGAAGGCACAAAGGAGATTGTGTGAGGAATGTGGCCATGAAAAAACTTTAACCTTCTAACATTAACAACAAAAATTGCAAACATAAGAAAAAAGGTAGTAGTTGGGCTTCCCCTACCACATAGCTCCACCTTATCATCACAAACTCTGTTCTCTCACTTTTCTATACCAAGTCCTATTGGCAAAAAGCTGTTGAAATGTGGACAAAAATCAAGATCTTAGTTACATATAGGCTTGTGTTTTGTACTTACATGACAGGCATTTGTCTGCTTAGGTAGGAGAGAACTGTTCATTGAATTCAGTAACATAAAAACTTTTTCTTATTAAAAAACAATTAGTCTTCCAGACCAGAGAATATTCTATTAAAGCTAGAAATGTGGGGGGAAAATTAGAACTACAATGTATTACATGCTGTTGGAATTTTCCTTGTCCCACACTTGTTATTGCAATGTAGTGTTTTGTTCTGTAAACAAATGTTGACAACTTTTTTGTAATCTGAATAATTTCACATCGGTCTGAAGGAGTAATATCCACATGGGAATTGGCTTAAAGCAATGAAGGAAGCTTTTACCAAATGTTCTCCAAGAAAAGCTGATGTTTTTAATATAACTGGGAGACAGGCACAGCACTGAACCAGATATTTCGGGTTCCACATGGTGCAGTCTACAGAGACAAGCCAGATGTTTAGCACTACCCTAGTGTCCATGGGGAATTTTGCTATTTATTTGGAAAACAATTTATTAAAAAAACAAGAAACCCCCAGCACAGTAGCAGCAAGGGGTTTGTTACAGTGAATGTACAACCTAAAGTTTTTAAGAATATCAGATTTCTCATTATAAAGGAGGGGTTTAAAAAGCATTCACGCAGTTCAGTTTCAAAAAGCAGTCTTTGTTATCTAAAATAGACTGGGCTGCTGTAGCTCAACTTTTTCTGAATAAAAGCAGGTCATTATTAAAAAGAGAAGAATTTGAACACCAGACATATTACAAAAGAGACTGTCAGATGTAAGCACCCACAGGAATAATGTGTGGGGTCTTGCACGCTCAAGAATAACTCCCACAGAATAAGATGAGGAATATGGGGTAGGATTTTTTTATGCCCTTATGTTTTCTGTTCTGTGTGAAGACAATAGCTCTGGATTTTCAAAGAGTGGACTTATTTTCAGCAGCCTAAAGATACCCTGCAGTTTTAAAAGGTCACTGGAATTGGTTGTTCTTTAGATTTCATCCATCTTTTAAATAGACAAAAGCCAAATCATTGGCATTGTAAATTGGTCTACAGCACCATGAGCATATAAAAATGAAAGCAGACTGGCTGGCCACCCTCCAGCAGTGACACAATTTCCAATGACACACAATCTACCTGTTGTTTTGCTCCCTTAGTCTAGAAACGTGCTGCTATTTGCTGTAAACCATTAGCCCAGCCTACCTGGCCTAAACACCGGAGCTGGAGGGAAGCTCACACAATGACCCCTGCCTTTGGTGTGCTGAACACTGGTCTGAAAAACAGTGGAAGGGATAGCCAGGATGTCTTTCCTTTCTGTTATTTACTGCTAAAATATAGATAACATTTCTATTCCAGGCAGGATGAAAGCTTAAAACTGATGATGTGAAGCCAGGAAACTGCAACACCACTTCCAAGTGCCAGGCTGCAAACAAAGCCATACCTGCAGTCAATACAGGGCTGGAATAAATCCAGGATTTGAGCTCCTTTTTGCACATGAGACTGGTTGTAGTGTTCTCTTAAGCAGTCACATAAAGCAGGATAACTGAGCCAGCCAATCCTTCCTGAATACAAGTAGCACAAGCAGGTAGTTCTTGCTGAACTCAAGTCATGGCACAGGCCAACACTGAAAATAGGAAAAAAGTAGAAAACCTAAGAAAAGTTGAGGACTGGTTTTGGGTTTTAATTATTGAGGGGTGGGGAGTGGAAGAGAGGAGGAGGAACAACAATTTACTATCGGTTTATTATTGTGTTGTTATGACTACACACTTACCTACACTGAGCATCTGTACTGGGTACCCACATGATGCCTTTCCTGATATTCATTCCTGACAAAAAGTTCCCTGACAACCTTCACAGCTGTGGTTATTGTGGCTGGCACACATCTCTCCACGGGGGCTGGATACCACACCACTCTTTTAAATATGATATCATGGAAAGTGGAGCAGGGATCTCAGATGGCCTTTAGCTGTTAACCCCAGGAAGCAGCTTTAAAAATATTATCTCTGTTATTGCAGTTGTTAATACCTTCCAAAAGGATTACTCCTAGGACTGCAAGAGCTCATTGACTTCACACATGCACATCCTTCTCTAAGGTTAAACGGGGAATGGTTCATGAGCACACAGCTGAGAGCAGAATTACCTAATGAAGTGAACTTGCCTGAGCACATCCAGCTCACACACAGCTTTCTTGCAAACATAAAAAGGAGCTTTTAATGTGAAAACCTGTTTTTGTTCCAAACTTGGAAATGTTTACGGGAAATTGTGCTTCTAGGCTCGGGGACACGAGCATGCATTGATGCACAGAGCACTGCTCACATTTACATCACTGAGGTCTCAAGGGGCAAAAGGCCTGAAAAACAAATCTGTTTTTACAAAGGGACACAAACGAAATCATCCAAGTTAGAGCATCTTAGTAACAGTGACAGCCAAAGGTACTTACCAAGGCAGACTCTGAAATCCACGCTGTTGATGGGCTCTCCAAGAAACCAGGCATCAAAGTCAAAAGGAAGCATTTCCAAGCCAAATCCTGCAGAACTCGGTGTTGAACTTCACCAACTTAGCTGGAGAAAAAAGGGCATTAGATATTGGCATTTCTTTTGGGAACTGGAGAGAAAGGGTAAGGTGGAAGTAATGGTTAGTGTAACAACCATGGTAGCTAATATGATGATAAATTCACTTATTACCACATGACAACTTCACAGCATATGAAAACATTAAGTAAGGATTCCCCTGAAAACCTCAACTGAAATTCCAGGTGTGACTCATTTGACTTACACAGTGATTTTTCAAACCATACCTTAGAATAAAGCAGACATAATTTTTTTATAAGTTTCATTAGACTTATGGAGTTTAGCTTTCTTTTCTTATCATAGGTAGTGTTTCAATGGAATATCAATCCTGGGTAGAAGTTATCTTCCCTCATAAGAACCATTGACATCTAGAAGAGCTCACCTCTTACACAAAAGAGTTCCAAAGTGCATAGAGGAGGGAATTGAAGAGAGACAATCACAGCTGCCCTGGAGATTCATGCTCTGCAACAGATCTCTCACGTGATGCTAAATTACACATCAAGGAAAAAAAAAATCAAAAAAGACAACTGTTTGTGTTCTCATCCTCTGGGAGCCTGACTCCCAATCTGACTGACAGATCCTCAAAAATGCATCTCAGGAGCTTAGGGAATGGTTAAGATTTGCTCTCCTGCCTTCCTGTATAACATAACTCACAGAAATTCAACCAGGCATTTCAGTATCCAGACAGAACATGGTCTGACTGAACTAACAAAATCCAACATTTCTGAACCTATAACAGCCCTCACCTTGCAAGTTGTGATCAGATTGGATATTCAGAAAATTAGGTAGGAAAGATCCTGCCAAGCAATGCCTCCAATTTTACATTTGTATTTCTGGAGCTTTTAATTTCTTATTGAGCTCTTGAGAATATGTAAGACATGAGCAGGCAAGGAAGTTATCTTCTGCATCTTTTCCCACTATGCAACAGGAAAAAAAATAACAATAGCAAAACTATCATAAACTGTTACAAAACAGGAGATTCATAAGCGATTGTCTATGCTTAAACCATGAGGGAGTGAAACACAAAGACAAAAGAGTCATCAAGTCAGTATCATTATTAGATTAAAAATAAGCAAACACTTCAGACTCATTTGTTAAGCAGTGCTGTTTGGGAATGCTCTCCTCGCTTTTCTAATTGCTTCCCCATTGGGAGGAGGGTGGAATGCATGTGTTGATTTGACTAAAATTTCCTTCTAAAAGGGCTGTTTAACTTCTAAGTAACACTGGAACACAAATAACCTCCCTTAGTTTACGTACAAACTACTATGACAAGCCCAACGCCTTCCCTTGGCAGTAGCTGGAGCAGCACAGCCTGTGTTTGAAGCGCTGTCCCGCTCCTTGGGCTGCTCAGACACTTCATGTGCTTCACTTAATGAGGGTATGGTTACTTACAATCAAGTTGGAGAGAAAATTCAGTAAATTTCAAGTCTTTAAAAGTCCATTCCAAATTCCTTCTTAACCTTTTGCTTCAGCAAAGTACTTCAATATTGATGACGGTGAGGGGAATTGGTGGTGTTTCTTATTCACCTTCTTTTAGTTGTTCTGTGGAGTGAAAAAAAGCTTTCATCTAAAACACTGAATCTGATTACATTTTGATTTTACTTCTGATAGATTCCTAACAGCAAATGAATGCTCCTTTCTAATTGCTCCGTTCAGGGACCCTAACTCTGCATAGAAGCTCATGTTTTTTATGTTACTACTTTTAAAGGCTTTTTCCATCACAGCATGGCTGTCTCTTTAGATACTTACTATGCATATTTTCCTCTCTTAGCCTTTGCTGATGGTAAGTCAGCTTTAGGTAGTGAATTCTGTAGGACTACCTGTTCCCTGGGAATCCCCTCTGCAGAGAGAACTAAACAGCTTCACTCTCTGCTCCCAGAGGGGATCTGTGCAATCCAGAAAGGGTTACTAGCAGGTGAAGTGCCACTCCATCCTTCCAACTGTTGCTCACAGCTGTGTGTTTACAGGTAGGAGAGTCAAATCCCTACCAAGACCACTCCCTAAACACCACAAGAACAGGCAAAATTTGGACAACTCTCTGGTGCGTTAGCTGCAACAGTTACTCAGGGACCATTTTGTTCAATATTTAACCCTAAGGTTCTTTTAGCAGCTTGTTCAATTATGGGATGAAAGAAAGAAAGAAAAAAAAAAAAAAGGAAGGGGAAAAAAAAAATCCCCAGCATAGATACAATTAGCCCAGAATTCCCATCGCCACCATCGTTCATCACCAGCGCTGAGAAATCAAAGCTCTTTATTCTCTTCCACTCGTTCCACTCATGTTTAGCACTTCTATGTTAAATGCAGTGGGTTCAAAAGGAGTGATTGAGAAACACTTTTTTCTCAAGCAGCCCAATGACTCGAGTGCTGTTCTGAATGGTACAACTCTCTTCTGCCTTAGCTAAGCTACACACAAGCACTAAAGCAACACACTCAGTGAGGCGGGAAAAAAGCCTTGCTCTTTCTCTGCAGATTATGAAAACAAAAGTATAGAGAAAGGGTTTAGCTAGGTACTCCAGGAAAGGCTGTTGATCCATGAACGTGGAAGGGGATGTGTCTGTGCTGCTCTCAGAGGGACCACGACACTCACAGCCTTTACACTCCTCCAGAGAAGGCTCTTGGAAACGTGAGCTAACAAGGTGCTACGTTGATGTGTGGTGCCACAGGAGCGTTTGTCACCTGTGGGTTTGCTGACCCCCGTGAGCGAGGAATGATGCAATTACGCACCTCTGAAGGAACATGCAGGTAAGGTTTCCTCAGCAGGGCTATGGAAAGGAGCAGCTGCCATTGTCACTGTGCATCACCCGCCTTGAAAAATATGAGGGGAACACTGCCAGGATTAATCCCTCTCCTGACTGTTGTAACACATACAATGAGGCTTCTCCTTGAGCAGCTTTTGCTACTTATCTCAATTTTTTTGCTGCAGAAGCCACGTCTAAGCAGGCAGGGGGATCATGTGCAAGAATGAATAGGCTCTGATTTATGCGGATCATATCAGACAACCTTTCAGAGCCTCCTTCCGGGTCCCCGTGCTCCATTAGTCTGCAAATGTCACATAAAGGTATTTAAATCAACAGTGAGGACAGTGGGGATTAACAAGCAGAGGAATACACAGCTAGCAGAGCAGTCACTGCAATCATGGTAAATACTGCACGCCGTGTCTCCACCGGCCCTCTCTTAACAGTTGGCTGGGAAGTGTTCGAGCACACCTATTTGGGATGGGAGCTGTGGATGCCAAGTGGACCTGCCAAGCTCCCAACTTAGACAGCTCTGAGGCCATCGACACCCACAGCAGGACCTGGAGGCCTCAGCTCCAAGACCACCCCCACAGCCTCTGCACCACCAGGCTCAGGAGGAAGGGGCACAAGCTGGGACACACCAGACTCGCAGCTTCTCCCATTCCCTGTTCCCTCTTCATGCCTCTCCCATGTGCCTCTCTGAGAAGCCCTTTTTGGGCTGCCTGCATCTCCTGTCCGACCCTGCTGGAGGATGTTTCAACTCCCTGACTTGACAAAAGCTCTGCAGCAATAGAAAAGAAAAAAAAAAAAAAGGAAGAAAAGCAATAAAAAGCAGGAAAAAAGCAGCTACCTCCTGCTTCAGGGGTGAGCAGCCCACCCTGAACAAATCACAGCAAAACTGCAATGCTTAGAAACTTCATCCCCCGCTCCCCTAGCTCTCCTTCCCTCACAAGCACAGCGTGACTCCCCAGCTTGGCCTCCACAGCTGTGCCCTGTGCAGCTCCAGGGTTCTCTCTCTCCACGGGTGGCAGCTCTCCAGTCTGCATGGGGCAGCTCCTGATTTTCAGTTGTTTCTGGTGGGTATGGTTTGCAGAGTGGTTCCCTGCTCGTGCTTTTATTTCTGCTGTCACAGAGCGCCTCTACTCCCCCTCATTCCCGTTGGCTACACCGTGATCTTAACCCAACGCTTTCTTCCTATTTTTTTGCAATATGAAAATAAAAGCTTTTCCAGCAATGTTACAACAAAAGGCTTGTAGCAATGCTTATAGATTTAGAGAGTGAAATGGCTGTTATGCCTCTAGGTTAAAATCCAGGGTACCACTTACTGTTTGGGTTTCTGTGTTCCCACTGACCCACCCAAATCCTTGCTAGTAGGGACAGAAATCAAGTTATGATTAAAAGCATATCGGAGTGGGTAAAGTGGGCATCTGCTGGGTACTGAAGGTCGCACCCCCAGTCCAACTCAGCGGACAGTGGGAACACTCACATTGATTTTATTTCCAGGCATCAGGCTTGCAATTGCCAACTGCTCTCACTAACTGATTAGGCACTGAGCAGCTCCAAAAATATCAGTCTGGGGGTGATAACTTTCTGTCATGTGAAATCTGACATCTTAGAAAAAAAAAAATGATGCCTGGACACACGCAGGCATTTCATAGCTTTTAAATATTAGCACCAACAATTATTTCTGCTTCACTTCTTACACTTTTTGCGAGTTTTAATTATTTAGAGTTCAGTTTGTTCAAAGATTTATTTTACTTTATTTTTGATATTTGCTTTTTAACTGTCACACCTTCTTTGTCACAGCTCTCAACATGCTGCAACTTCTAACTTACTGAGAATGCATCAGGGGATTAGGTGCTGGTACCAATACACAGATTCACTCATCCCATAGATATGTTATTACCTTCAAATGCCATTGAGATGCCCTGGTTGCAGTCCTCTCTTTAACCATTGCTCAGGTAACCTGTCTTCATTCTTCTAGGGGGCAAAAAAAATAGCCAAACAAAACCCCAAACCAAAATAATTTTTACACATTTTTTCACATCACAGCGAACAAAGGCTGTGACACACAGTTCTTGAGCTCCCTTTCCATTTTCAGGCATGTTAAATTTCTGCTTATTTCACAGTAAACCTTCTACTGGTAGCTGATTTCCCAGCATCAACCCAAGGATTGCAGTACCTGATATATGGTATATTGCAGTGCACGATAAGGTCGGTGTTTCAGCTTTGCCACTCTCACATCCTCCTGGATATTAAAATATGGAGGGGTGAGTCTCTGGCCTCAAGGGCTGGCCCTCTCTTCCTGAAGGTCCATAAATCAGCCTCCAGGACTGAGGCTTGGTGCCAGCAAGACACTGTTATTTATGGACTGGAGACAGGTTTGAGGTGCAGGGGGAGTCTGAGAGCAGATGAAGCTGTCCACACAGACAGAACAATTCTGCAGGATGAAGCTGCTCCTACAGGAGGGCCTTGGGTACTCAAGGACTGTGCGGTCCAGCTCTTAGTCAAGTGTCTGAATACAGATTTGCTCACTTTTGCAAGCACTGTCTTTGTTCCAAGTTTCTTTACCACCACCACCACCCTCCAGACAACACAATGTCCCTACCAAAACTGCTGCTCGGGTTTGAAGCAACAAAGGGAAGAGACACTCACAACAGTTTTTCATTAAGATAGAACATAACATCAGCTTACAGTAAAACACAATTCAGTGCTTGTTTGATATTTTTGTTTTTGCTCTAATGAAAAGGCAAACATAATCTTCCACAGATTGTTGTTCCCCAGAAAAAGCGTATAACAATATGCACCGCCAGCAAACACTGTATTTAAATATTCAACACAGCCGTGCTCGTGGAGACCTGACAGAGAAAAATCCCCTGCTCTCTCTTCCTCCTCATTCAGCAAACCAGGCAGAGGATTTTGAACATAAATTCAGAAAGTATTTTCATAAATAGAATATTTCAGCAGTTAAGACTGTGGTTTTAAGCAGTTCTGACTCTTCACGCATTCTCTTCCTATGCCTTGGTGGAAATAAATCAAACTCTTAAGCTGCTGCAATAATCTCTAAGAGACAAAACAGATGGAAAAAATAATGGGATAGGGTACCTTATGAGTAAGTTTTTGGCAGCACAAACCTAATGCCTCTGTTCTTTACCTAAATGTTTAGACTTGCAGCTGCCAAAACCAAACTAAAATTGTTTTTTGTTTTTGTTTCCTTTTAATATGTGGTGCGTTTTATATATAGCATACTTCACATATTAAAAAGAAATTGCACAGGGAAAAATTATTCCAAGAAGCAAGGTAATTCAATATTATTCACTAGACTCCACAATAGACCCCTAGAAAGAAAGAAGGCCATACATACACAGAGAGACACTGCAGTCCTTCAGCATCTGCAGCCACAGATCCAGCAGCCTCAAGCAGAGGGTCGGGAAGGGCAGGTGATGCTGTTGCTCCCCGAGTTGCTCCCATCCATGCTCGATGCTGGCATGAGCTCATGGGGATCCCAGGGAAGATGCACCACCTCCCTTCTGGATGGAAAAGAAAGTCAGACAGGGTTATGGGAGGAATGACTGCATTGATCAGGCATGGAGCTGTTGAAAGGAGCCCTGGAGCAGCACAAGTTTTTACTCCTTTTATTACCTTATCCCCCTTATCCCCCCATTACATAGCTTGCCCTGTGGTCTCTTACCCCAGTGGCCCTGGTTTTGCTCTCCTAATTCCCCTTTTTTTGGTATTTACTGTACTTCTTTCTTGATCATCCACCATAGCAATTTCCAAACTCCCCATTTTTCAATTTACGAGATTTGCCCATTTCTCACACAGTTGTCTTGTTATTACAGCCATAAACCAGGGTTAGCCTGGGCAGCCTGGACATGACTTTCTCTTTGATTCCTAGATGGTTCAACAGTTTCTTTTATTTCTATTCTGTTTGTGCATCTACATGACCAGGGTAGGCCACTTTCTTGGGCACTAGTTGATTTGATTTGGACACCGGCAGTTTTTCAACACTGAGGTGTCAAAGCACACATTCAGGACAGGCCCTTTATGTTCCTCGACACAGGCACAGCTCATCCTCTGCCACTTATGGGCTTTTTTGGTTTCTCACAAACAGCCAAGCACTTTGGCCAAGGAAAAGTTATTTTCTCAACACTCACTCTGTTGCAGTATAGGCCAACTCAGCCCCCACAAGCTGCCCCCAGAACAACTTCACTCACTGAAACCATTTTTAGTTTTATGGGAGGCCCAATAATGTGTCTGCAAGGACTTCTCCAGCAAAGAACCTGAGAAGAAACAGGTACAATTATCAAAATTCAAATTTAAATACATTAAAACCAGCTTTCACCCTCCTGAGTTTTCTTGGCTGACACAGAATTCTCCTCCTTTACTAGAAAACCACATCGTTTTTGGAAGTTACTTTGAACCGCTCTAGGAAAAACAACTGAGAGCACATTTTAAAGAACATCCAGAACAAAGTTTTTATGCATTTGTATAACTCTAATGTATATTATGAACTTGCAGTGAGCTATACCAACTTGCTGAAGGAAATAAGACCAAAAAATTGCAAAGCATGTGCCCGAGGATCCCTGTGCAACCTCAGACCTGTAGACTTAAATTCCTGCAGAATGCTCAAAGATATGCAGCTAATGCCTAGAAAGAAACACATTTTAGGGAACCTACTTTGACTGAGAAGGGTGAAAAAAAGAAATTAGAATTAGGGAAATCAGAGCCCATATTGGTGCATAAGTAAGAATGTGTGCATATGTTTGCATGTAGAATCATGCAGCTTAAAAGCATACACAGCTTTGGGGGTTTTTGGTTACTTGGTTTTAATCTGTTCCAAGTCATGATCCTCAAATTGAGTTTTCTGTAATTGGTTTTAGCTGAGCTATAATGCATTGAATTCAGAAACCTTAAATCTTCATCATCTTACGTTGTTTTTTGGAGACGAATATTATGATACATTTTGTCTCAGACTAGTAACAAGTGCAAGACTTGAGCTAAATATTTACCGTCAGGAAAAATGCAATGCTTTCTTTTCTGGAACAGAGCAGCTACAACATGGCCTATAAATGTTTTTCATTTTTATCTCAGTATTAATAACCACATTTTAATGACCTCATTCAAGAAACCCACAAGAATCTGGCTGTTCTTTTTCTGTCGTGTTGGTGCCCTTTACATCATTTCCTACTTCTAATAACTGATGATGATGGGTAATTACTTAACAGATGGTAAAAGCTCTTTAATGGCTTTAAAGGACTACTGAGCTCTGCTGTATTTTGGGAGCATTAACTTCTGTGACTTTCCATCTTCCTCGGGTCACTCCAAGTTTGTTCAGACATCATCAAATATTCAAGGGCTTGGGATTTTTTGATTTTTTGATTTTTTTTTTTTCAAATCAAGAACTGGAGGTTAGTGACATGCTGCTTCAAACCATTGTTATTTCAAATACATTTCTTCTGTGAGGCCACTCTTAGCACTGAGAAGCCATCACTCCTCTCTTTTCTCCCCGGCTCTGGTCAGCACAGCAGCCTGTGCAGCCCTGGGTGTCTGACCTTTGCTTACCAGACATGCAGCTCTGTCTCTGTCCTGCAGCAACAAACTGTCACATCATTAACAGGAGGCTGGGGGCGGGGGGTAAAAGTCAAACCTCAAAGCTAAGATTCTCGTTAATGTCCTACACTGCATTGACATCACCTCCGGAGTAACACGGGCAGGAGAAATTCCACTTTAGAAGGGGTAAATGTGAGGAGTGAAATTCATAGTTTAGCACAAACGCAGCTAGTGACCCTCTCCATCCTTCCCTTGCACTTGGAATAAATTGCACTTCATCCTAATTAATCCAAGTACACTATATGCCATCCACAATTCTGCCACTGTTTTATCGGTTCTAATAGCTGCTTCCCTTGGTCTGTATGTAAATATGAGGAGCTGTGGCAAAAGACACGAAATTGACTGCAAAAAAAAATTTACTGCATCACGAATTAGCAAAGAGTATGTCTAGAAACAAATTATTCAATTTTATGATTGCTGCTAAAATAAACGCTTGCATTTTGCACGAGACCGTGAAATTGGAAATAATAAACAAAGTCATGATGATTTCTTCAGATTTAGGATCAAACAGCCCTCCTGGTATATAGCTACAGTTACAACTGATTCAGCTGTACATTTTTCATCTGATGCAAAAAGCTGTACAAAGAGCACTGGACAGACCATACACAAGCTCTGCTTAAGTGTGCCCAGAAGCGTGATTCAGTGCTAAAAATAAATGTTTATAACTAATTTGTTACTCCAAATAAAACAGGTACATAATATAACAAACGGATCATAAAACACAGGTTGTGAAACTTCTACTTGAAGTGAACAGTGGAAAGGTTTGGGAGAGGCTGAATTCCTCCCTCCCTCCCTCCTGTTTATCATCTCTGTACATCTGTGAGTATTTACACAAAGGCAGGTGTCCATCCCTGAGTGGGACTCAGACCTCTTAGAGTGTTTGGTCAGTGTTTTAATATTCAAGTAACAGCTCCTGAAGTCAAATAATACACTAATTCTCATAACTAAGAAGTGTGACGTGCTTGTTTTCCTCTGCAGAGCTCTGAATTTCTCAGTGCACAGGTATCAACTTCCCATTTGCATCCACCAAATCTGAGTACCTCCTGCAACACTGCAATTTTATTTTTGATTGAGACTAAAATGATAGTTATTTGCCCAATGAAAACCCAAACGTGACCTCAACTCATATTTTGTTCAATAATCTCCAGTACATTTAGTAAACTGCTGTTCTGAGAGGATTATGTTCAAACACAGAGTGAATACTTATAATCATCACCATAAAAAAATGGACTCTCTAGGTATTAATTTTTGATGTACTAAGCACTTCCTTTGCAATTCCATTGTCATCTGGCATCATTGTACCATAAATTTAGAGTGTTTGGAAGAGAGCTGTGTTGTTTTGTACCACAACTCCTCATGATTTAGCAAGTCTAAGCAGATACAGCTGATTGTATTAAGCCATTTGCATTTTCTACTCTTCAGGAAGAGATACAATCTAAACACTTTTAAAATAGCACTATCTTTGCACAGCTTAATAAATTGTTATGAATAAGCAAAATCCTCGATCGCGTTACACTCTAGATTAGCCTCTAGATGAGTTTGTAACTGAGAGGGAAAATAATGAACAAAACCAAGGACAAATCAGCTGTAAGTCTTGGAAGGTTCCACTTAAGAGAGAACAGAATGAGAGATAACCACACACTTGGAGAGTGTGGATTTTTCACCTGTGACCTGAGCTGTGCATCCTGCGATGCCACATAGGATTCCCTCCCAAAAAGACTCTGTCTGGCATTTGGGTGTTGTTTTCCTGAAGATGAATAAAACACTACAGAGTCCACCAGAGTGGTCTGCACCACAGGCTTCCTGAAACACCACGTGCTGCTCTTTAGAAGCAGAGGTAAAAAGAAAAGCTGAGGAATCAGCTATTTGTGCTTACGGCCTCCCAGCTGGAGTGTGTGTTTCTCCCCAGCCTGCCAAACTCTTCTGCTGGTGTTGCTCACTTCACTACCCTCTCAAATCCCTCAGAAAAGCCTCCTGGTGTGAAGGACTGTGTGGCAGAGATAGCTAAACTCTGCTCCATGTGGGCTACCATCCAAGCATGGATCTGAAGGAATGAGCCAAGCTTATGCTCACAGCTCCAGGAAGCATCCCTACCTGAAATGCAAGGGAGAAGCCTCATGCCTCAAAAACTCTTCCAGGATGCTTTTTAAAAAAATTTTATTATTATTATTTTTTTAAACTAATCTCAGAAATAAATATTTTTACGTTTTTAATATACTGGTGAATCCAGCAAATTCATTAGACTCTTCATAAATAGTAGTTAGATGTAACATATAGTACTTACTCTTGCAGCCTGAGAAAAGAAATGCAGTCCCTCTTACATATCATATTTTGAAAGCTGAAACAGAAAACAGATCCTTTCCCTGCCTGGAAAAAAAGTACAAGGGGTATTGCTGAAAAGCTGAGTTTTTCTCTTCAGCAACGAGCTGGACAACGCTGTGCCCGCTTAGCAAAGCTGACAGCAAACGATGCATTTGCATTAGGAGTTGGGTCCTTTTGCTCTGTTTTTTGGCCCCCACAAACCTGGTGTTCTTTGAAGTCCTCCAAAAGGCACTAAAAGCAAGCCCTTTGCAGGAGGCTCCCTGAGCCTCACGGAATGAAACCCAGCAATGGTCCATCAACGTAGTTACAGTACGTGATTCCCAGTCCTGGCAAGTGCACCAAGCTAAGTCACAGCAAACCACGGGCTCCACATCATCCTCAGAGTGCCAGGTCAGAGGCATTTCTGAGACAAAGCACAACCCTGCACCATTTTAGGCTTTCCACCCTTGTTAAAAGCAAAACATATGTAGGAAGGAGAAACAAAGAAGCACCTATGGTTTAATTGAGGGCTGAAAAGCCACAGGTTTCTTCTGATATTTGAAGTAATCACAAGAGAAAATCATCATCTGATACATTTTTTTTTAGATTTGCTGCCATTTCATGGCTCGAGCAGAAAGCGTGTACATGAATGTGTTTTCAAGGTTTCTTTCTGTCCTTACCCTATTTGTTTGGATTGAAACAATAATGTTAGACTGCTTCCACAGCCTCTGGGTATCCCAGCACACAACTAGCACTATAGCAAAACTCTCCCAGTGCTAAAACAGGATCTCTGTGAATCTGCATTATGAAGAAAACGTATTTTCAGAAGGCAAAATAAGCTTATTGATGTTATTAAGCACGACAGTGGGTCAATCTGGGGAGAGGTCAAAAAACTGAGCTGGAAAAAAACGTTAGTAAATAAAACATATTCACATCACCTGTCTGGCTAAAATTGTTTAAAGCACTGCTAGAAGTCATCTTTGAGCCAGTGGTCTAATTTATTCTAGGAAATATAAAAGAGGTGTCAGGACTTCAGTGGCAGAAACCCCCTCCATGTGCTCCAGGATCCTGTCCCACATCAGGAAAATGCTTGAAGCAGACTTTGATCTGTTGTCACCCATCCAAGGACAACTGGGAAGTGAGAGGAAATGACATCTCACCTTAATAAAGAGCTGGTTGCACCTGGGATCTCTGGATTCAGGGGCCCTCTGGATCTGGATGGTGCAGAAGTACCCACAGAAATCAGGGAGAATTCTCAGGGACCACCTGCATTTTGAGAAAGAAAGGAGGAGATAAACTCAGTGCTCCCATGGATCCTGGCGTATTTATTCCAAGCTTTCTAATTCAGATTGCATTTACTCTGTGGAGATTTCTAGTAGGAGCAGGTGTGTGTGGACCTGGTCCACTGCTTCAAAATCTTAGAGTCATCAGAAATTTGGTCAAGTGTTTTAACAGGGATGAGAGTACAAGAATGGCTGGTCTCCATCCTCTGTTCTCATGAGTCAAATAATGCACTGAGTGGATAAGGACAAACTCAATAGATCTTACAGAGGTTTTTGTCCTTGTGACCCCTCGTGAGTGTAAGGAAAGACTGAAATAATGCTGCTGTGGAAAGGTATCTGTCTTGGAGAAAAACATCAAGGAGTGCTGCCAAAGTGCTGTGAAAGTTTGCAAATCCAAATGACTATGACAGAAGACCTGAAGACTGCAAAATAAACTTCATAGCATTTATTCATCATCCCAATAATCCTCACTAAATAGAAGCTGTGAATCTTCAGCAGACTAGAAGGTCAAAGAGAATAAAAAAGACTTTGGTAATAAACCTGGTAATAATAATTTCTTCTGTATTTTTATACTCTTTTTTTTTTTTTTTTAAACTTGTCTCCACTCTAGTGGAAGGAAAAATAATTAGAAAGAGGAAAAAATTAGATTAAATTGAATTAAGACTCGATTGTTAGCTAGCAGCTGGGATTCTGATGGTCTGGTGCTTGAACCTACATGGTGCTTTCAGGAGCCCCACAATGCAACCACCATCTGTAGCTCCACAGCTAAAGGAACAGCAGGATTGGAAATAGATGATATGAAGGAAAGATAACTCATTATAAGTATTATAAGTTTACCCCCTTGTCTTTGTCTATTTAATTTTCTAGGGGTGAAGTGAGCAATGAAAAGAGAGAAACGGATTGACATTTATTTTGGGGTTTGGTTTTTTTTTACAGTTTAAACTTTAAACTTTTATAAAATGTACATTACTGTGTCTGTGTCTCTTACAGCAGCACCTTGACCCTTGAACTACATACACTTACATTTACCTTTAAAGAAGCAATCTTTTTGAGTCTTGATGATGTGAAATAATATGCATTTTGGAATGAAATGATAGTTTTCATTTTTAAACACCTGCATGCAGCATTACACCCCACAGTCTTAGCCAGTACAATTAATATTATTCACCTGATGAAAAGGAAGTCCTATTTTTACTGGCAATAATGAAGAAATTCATACCAGAATAATGTAATATGCACTTTTGAGAAAGGTCCTGACTGTGGATGGGAATTTCTTACTATAGGAAAAGGTTTCTAAAACCCCATGACTATAAAAACAGTTATCTTGGAAAAAAGGATCAGGCAATTTTCTTTAAAGCTCAGCACCATTATGAAGTGTGTTTGGGGTTTTTTTAATCCCTGGAAATCCGCCTTTTCCTCTAGCAGCTTGGGGATTCTTTCTCTTTATATTAAGTAAAGATAGATTTTGTTACTTACATGGAATGTCTGTGGGAAAAAAAAAATCCCGCTTAATTCTTCACAGCAGATCTTTGAGGGCAAACTCGCATCGAGTGACTCTGCAGCTTACAGGTCTGGCTCTGCTTGAGACAGATACCTCAAGCAGATAAAGATGAATCTTATTAAGCTAAAATCTCTTCATTTCCACCCTTAGACTTCAGTACAGGTTGAATGTGACTTCGAGAAAGATCTTATCTATCTGAGCTTTGGACTCTCAAAGAACTGAGAAAAGCACTCCTGTCGCTTCCAACGCCTCTTTTATCTGGGAATACAAACCGTGGCCTGTGCCACTGTGTGAGCAGAGGAAGGGCCACTGGCACCCACCTCTGGGAACAGTTCACTGTTCCACTCAAAACAGTTGAGAATTTAGGTTCCCACGCTGCTGAGAACAATAATGTCATTTGCCCAGCGGGTGCTCCATTTTCTTTGAGCAACATTATTGTTCCTCGGCTTCTCTACCGTTTGATTCAGGAAAATGAACTGCTGCGTGGTTGACAGATGTTTGAGGGAAATCATGTATGATGATTTGGGGAAAATGATGGATAACATTCTTCACCCATTCCAAGTTCCCTTTCATCATCAAAAATGCATCTCGCTCAAACTGAATGCACCGTGTCATCTTGTAGATGTGCAGGTAAAATTCACGTTTGGATTAAAATTACATCTATTTAGCTTGCATGCAGAAGCACGAAGCCATCTATCTTAGTAGCTTTAGCTTGTAAAAGAGAGAGGGACCAGAATAAGAAGTGCAAAAATCATTGTGTAATTAGATATATACGAAATACAGGTGCATTCTGGCTTATCTGGAGACTGGAGTGGACAAGGACATGTGGTCAAAGCCTGAAATAAAAATGATTGATCATTATCAAGTTACCATTTTAAACCAATACAGCAACAAGTAAGCAGTTTCATAACAGCACACAAAAAATAATTACCCTAACACATTTTCTATCCAGAGAAAATGTACTTTACATTTCATGGAAAAATTGGTTCTTTCAGACTGCAACATGGTTTTGCTAATGCAAGGCTCACAGAACTTTGATAATACTGAGGGTAAAAGCTTCCAGCATTTTACCATCCTCTGAACTCAACTAGAAATCCGAAAATATTGGTTTGCCAATTACCAGGCAGTGCATTTCCCCTGACTGCCCACAGAATAAATGTCACAAAAATATATCTGTTTGGAGTGTTTCTTACTGGAGCATCACTTAAACACTTGCAGAAAGGGAGAAGCAAGAAAACTTTGAATTATAAACAAAGGAATTTAAATAATCATGATCAAGACTTAAAAAAACCTGTGCTTGCAAATAAGCACAAAATATTTCCACAGACCCGGGAATTCAGATGATACAGTGCTCAGAAATGTTCTGCCAGAGGGCTCTGTTTTTCCCTTCAAGAAGTTTTGATACATCAGCAGCCATATGCTTTAATTTACTGGTTTATGCTAATTTCGGTGACATTTTGCTTCTGATGAGAAAAATCTAAGTGATCTAAAAATCTAAAATGTGATGCTTCAAAATGAGTTTTCACTTAAGATGTATAATACATATGTGCAAACAGATTTGGATTTTGTCAAAACTTTTCCAGCAATACAATAACGAATTGTAAATTCTGTACTGCAGGAAAATAAGTGGGAGACATGAAAGGAGGAAGAATAAATTGTCACTGAAGGAGACTGGGACTTCCGAATTTTTGAAAATTAAATCAAAAACGTGAATATTTTGAAAATGTGTTGCAAATACTTGAGTTACTGATTAACAGACTAGCTTTTTGGACTTACTCCATTACAACAATGGTGATTACAGACTACTTTGAAATTTTGCTTTCATGTAAACTGAAGATATTAAAATAGATGTGTTCAAATGCAGGATTCTATGAATTAATGAGATTAGATTGTATTTACAAGGGTGCTATAGAATATTTGGATTGGCATTAGGAAAACATTGGGGGAAATTTCAAAATCAAGCTAAACCACCTGGGATGCAGGACTTTCTGGCTCCAAATTATGGTGCAGGTATTGACAGTCTGTTTTGTAAGTGAATGTCATGGCCACATCATCAATAACAAGTCTCCAACCCAGTTCCAAGGAAAGATTCATGGACCTGAACAGATCCATGTTTCTGATCCCGTTTTTGAACCTGTGGAGTCTTTCAATTTATGGTTTCCAGCAAACTTGGTGCTGCTTAAAGCGACTTTTGCTATCAGTACCTTCGAGAATGAAAAAGGGAAATTGTGCTTTGACCCTGATTTATGAAATAGTTTGCATTCCTTTTAATCCATAAAGAGGGCATTCATTTTTGTCTTATGGAAAAAGCCAATTATGACATTTTTGCAGGTGTGTTCTTTCCAATGAGATTCAGCTACTGCCATCTATTGATATATATTGTGAAGGGTCACTCTGGAAGTGCTCATCTTTGCAGTGCCTTTTCTAAGAATAACGTAAATTATCAGGGGTGAGAAAAGGACACAGAAAGAATGGTTCTCCTTCCCAGCAGTGAAAAAGAGGCATTAGAGAAAGGAAGAAAATATCAGAGTAAGTGTGAGGTAAACGTATAAGCAGTTTTTGTTTCAGAGGTAAATTTTCCAACACTAGGGCAGTATTCAGATGTATAGGGGTGACCTGTCACTAAAAGACTTTTATCTAAAAACCAATCTGAGATCTGTAGTTGTGTTATCCTCATTAGCTCACATCAAGGTGAGCCGGCCAACATTCTGCTTTTTAACATCAGCCCAGTCTCACTGGACATGCTCATTCTCCAAACCCTTGGAAAAGAGCCTGTTTTCAACCATCTGTGGAAGGAATGCACTGACCTGAATTAATTAACTGAAATCAAGCCAGTTTTTCAAAGGATCCAGACCAAAGAAGGAGGTGCACTGAATTGGAAGAAGAAGTGAGTTGTGACTTCCAGCAAAGCCCTGGCTCTGTGATAGGGAGCAAAGTGTGAACTTGAGGGAACTGCAGCTCTGGCTGAGGAAAGCAGCTCAGGCAGAGTGACCTCATGGGAATGGAGGGGAAAACAGGGAAGGGGCTGAGGTAGAATCTAGCAATTTCTTGTTATTGCATATCACAGCAAAAAACTGCCATCCCTCCACCCTTCTATTGGTTTCTCTTGTGCTGAGCAGCAAACACAGTCATTATCTCCTCCAGCCTCAGACCCAAGGTCTGACAGCTGTACGACACACCTAAGGGCTTTCTGAATGTTATGGCCCTCCCTTTCCCAAATGAACAACAAGGTTATTGTCAGGCCTTCTTGAACATTTCTTCTCTCACTGCCTCTTTTGTCTTTAGTTGATCATAGAAAAATAAGAATTTGTCTCTTCTGAAAACAAGCTTAGCTTGTCTATACAGAAATCGTCTTCATTAATTTGTTCTCGTCTGAGATACAAAATATCCACTGCACACTGCCTGCATTTTGTCAGCATCTTGCTAATTACTTAAACAAGACAGTTTTCTTCTTTTTTTCTTCTTCTTTTTTTTTTTATATGAGACATATTGGGGAGAGGGAAATTCTGTCTTCAGTTACTCATTTCATTTATTCAAATTACAGCTTTCCAATCCAATACTGCAGAAAAAGTGCTCCAGGGTAAATTTGGAAGTCTGTTTCATTATGATCCCCTAAGCATAATGCAATTAGAATCATGCCATGAATGACTAACAGTTGAGAAGCAATTATTTTATGACTAGGTGAATTTCTACCTCACAACAAATATTTCTCACGTTTTTGTGTGCTAGTCTTTTCAGCTGGTGCTAAGAAGATTAGAGAGATTAAAGAAGCATTTAGAATCATGAAAGGAAAGCCAGAGCAATCTTACTCTTGTTAGGGGAAGCTGAACTGGAGAAGTGGAGGACTCGGGCCAGCCGAGTGTCCTACAGCCCAAGCTGGAAGGTAATGGAGGCCTGAAGACTCCTCGTGTCCACTGGATCAGGCTCTTCAGAGGTTGTTGATCCCGTTATCCACGGTCAGGCTCTCTGGGATGAATGTAAGGTGGGAGGTTAGTGGCAGAAGGGTGGCTGCATGCAACACCCTGGCACTGCAGCTCAGCACAGAAGCTTGATGGACACTGAGAAAATGGGAGGGAATTCGCATTAACAACCAGCTTGCTGCTCTGTTAGAGATGCTAAAACACGTGGATATCCTAACCCATGCCAGGACTGGTCCTCAGGGAATTACAGCTACCTATTCTCTGCTAGGATTACACGAGTCATACATATCATTACCCAGTTTTTTTTGCCTGCACTATTGCAGTACTTTGGCAACATGGGTTGTCCAGAGCTGTCATTTTTGTCAGCACCTCCTGCTGCTTTCTCGGGCACCTGAAAAGCTCTGTGGCAATGCCTGGACTGCACAGCTGGCCCACCACCACTAAAAAATCCATCCCTCACGTGGAAACCATGGATGGAACTACGCATATCATTCCCAAATCTTGTGGCTCACACTAACTCCATAAAAACACCAATTTGTACAATTCAGGGAGTGGTTCTCTGAGCTTGAGCCCCAAAATCAAGCCCTGAGGCTCTGCTGAGATTCCTGACTTCCAGGGAGGAATGAGTAACAAGCTGAGCCAGCAATCAGCAAGTTGTTCTCAGAGCCTCTGCCTGAGTTACGGTTCCCAAAGCTCCTGGGTTTCCTTCTGTGAAATATATAAATAAAAATAAATAAGTGCATTATTGCTAGTTGCTTCTTCACTAAAATGCTATGCAAGAACAGTAATTATTTTCCCCTTCAAAATGGAGCTCCACACTTTCGTGGTGGCACTCCCATTTTAAGGATTGCAAGCTCACCAGAGGCACGTTCCTCCTTTCATTACCACCCTATTTCTCTTTCAAAACAAAAGTTACAGTGGTTACTATTGTAACAGCCTGCATATAATCTGCTGAGAATAAATACCCATGTAATGAGCCTGAAATGATATGGTAATTTCTTAATTCAAAATAATTACATGGCTATTTGTGCCCTCTAAAATAAAGTATTACTTATTCAGCCCAAACAAATTGCTGTTTGCCCAGGTTTTGAACTCTGGTAAACAGTAGCAGAGCAGTCATCTGCATACAGAATCCTGAGACAATTTTATGTCAGATGTTTACTTACACAGAAACAGAAACAAATATTTGTCCAGGCAACAAGCAGGTTTTAGCACAGCCAGGGGAAAAACAACAGAAAGCCCTTGGAAACAGACTGAAAACACGGCCAAGACAGAGTGCTACAAGGGCACCAGCTGGCTCAAAGTCACCAAGGTGCCCTCCAAAACGTCTCACAAGCTTGAAAATGTTAGATAAGAGGATGGGAATTGTTTGGTTTATTTTGGCTTGTGTCTGAGTTGAGTGCCTACCTCCCTGTGCTGCCTGGAGGTACAGATAGGACAGCCACGCCACGAATGGAAACTGGAAGGAAGGAAAGGAGGAGTGAGGGTGGACAGACATTCAAGCCATTGATTCCAGCCAGCTTTCCTCCAGTCAAAAAACCATCTTCCACTGGCTTTGGAGAAAGAAGGCTGAGGAGGTCGAGATTTCAGAGCGCTGATAAAAGACTGAAAAATCATCTCATTCTGAGCGGCAGTAGAAGGCTTTCCACCAATGTGAATAATGTGAGCTTGGAGCTGTAGTGTGTTTAATCACCTCAGATGAAAAATAGTGCACTCAATTTAGTCCACTCGTGTGCTTCACTCAGTGGGTGTCCGTGAGGTACTTGATCTCCACTCTGGGTGTTGAAGGGCTCAGCCTTTATCCACAAAGCGGCTTCAGTGCAATTCCAAGCCCTTCCCTAACAGTCTTTTTTCCAGTCTTGAGAGAGCAGGGAATTATCTTTGAGAAGTCAATGGTCATGGGCATCCATGGCTCATGAGTGCACTACTTTTCATCTGAGGTGATTAAATATTTGAGCCTCGAATGCAAATGAAATCCACACTTGATTTTGTACTCCTGTATTACACAGCTGGTCCTCCTCTATTTCCCTTGTCATCTGAACACGTTGGATTGAGTTTTATATCTGTATTTATATTTTGGGAGACCTTGCTAAAAGAAGTGGACCTATATGCAAGATCTGCATGCAGTTTCCTACTGCCAGGGAAAAAAAATTAATGAAATTGGTTGAAATTTGCTCTACCCCGATTAAGTAGGTTTTGGGTGAGAAATAAACCTCAATTTTTTCACTTAAAACCCAGGAATTTTGAAGAAGCCAGATTTTCAGCGGCTCACAAATTACAAAGAAATAATACAGGCTGTTTTTACAAATGTTTTCAACCTACAGCATGGTGATCCAAAAGGTACGATGAGTCATGCAGAACCACTGCTTTGTTTCCAGAAGCACCTTGGGTCTGCCAACAGGTCACCTGCTGGTCGAAACCTGTAAGAAAGAAAATGATTATTGCATATTTTCTGCTAACATATGTGCAAAAATAGCGAAACTTTGCATGACTTCAGTGGTAGCATCAATTTGTATGCACAATTTAAGATTTGTTATTTCAGCATCAAGTATCTCTTACTCTATTTGGATATTATAGTTGGACTATTACAATATTTTCTTGCTGCTGAAAAATCATCATTGCACCCTTTGCTGCATTTGCTGAAGACGTTAAAGGTGTAATTTGGAACACTTGACCTTACAAGAAAAATTGCAGCTTGTTGTAGCATCAATAGAGTCATTGTTAAAATCCCTCAACGCAATATTTGGCATTGTTTGAAAACAAGCTGCATGTAAGAGTGCTGCATAACAGTGTGCTGCACCATTTAATTATTATTTTTTTCCCCCAAAACCATTTATTTTTTTCTCTCATTATTTGTGTTTCTTATGGCTCAGGATGCAGATTACGTGCCCTGAAAGGTCACCTCCTTGGAAGCAGTTTTCTGGTTGTTTTGTCCTGTACACCCTTCCTATGGCCAAGTGCCTCCAGGCTGCATTGTGCTCTTTAACGCCAGGTCAATTGAATTCAGCCTTGCTCTTTGCTAAGGTTGCCTTGCCACTCTGTGTGCCACTATTGTTTTAGGTGTTCTTCATGCTAAAGAGTTGCATATTTTCACGAGGACACTGTGAAGCTCTCTATGGTTTTCTGTCGAGATTCTTTAAGCACCACAAAAGAAAAAAAAACCACCAACAACAGGGCTCAGCATTCAAAATTCTGATTTTAGTAGCAGTGCATGCAGGTGCTGTTGCTCATTTTGAGTGATGATGTCCAGATTTGCTTAAACAGATCAGCGAAAACTTTGGCTTTTATTCGAATGTAGGTGTCATTATATCCACTCCAATAAATTTATTTATCCATCTCAATGATATTGCTTGTTTCAGCTTGTTTGGTTTTAATTCAGGCCTGAGCTGCTCTGTAATCATTTGTTCAAGTTTATGACATTACACATTGTTGACTAATAGCCTCATTTTGCTGAGTTTCCATTTATTACTGTCACTATTACAGCAGGATTTAAATTTTTGTAACCTGCCTATCCTAGCATGAATCTCATTTCATTGACATTTAACACTGATCCTGAGGGCTCCTCTCTGACTGTTTGTCACCTAAGGATCACATACTTTTGCTGCTGACTTTTAAAATCAATTATAATCTTGCAGGATTTGGCTGAGAGGATAACCCAAAGTGAAAGGCAGGGAGTCTTAAGAGAGAGAGTTTCCCAATGCATTATATAAGATTGATTTTCCATGGGCAGAAACAAAAGGTCAGCTAAAGGGGAAAAAAATAAACCAAAAGCCACACACACAAAAAAAACCCCAACTAGAGTCAAGTCTTTTCTATGATACCTGAAAAGGATGCATAAATCTGTTTTTCAGTCACTGAGTATTAGGATCTGGTAGAAAAGAGAACACCACCACAAAGTGCCAGAGGGATGCTGTTGAAAACCACATGCACAAGTCCTCTTAAAGGGCATTTACTGCAGGTATCACCAGACTGGGATGGTCACATCTCTGCTGTTAAAAGAAAAAAAATACAGAATACTCATCAATAAATCCCTTTTTTTAACTTGATATTGAAAAAAAAATATAAACTTAACATTGAATTAAAACACAATTTGTCATTTCAACAACAATATCCCTCCCTCTGCTTTCCAATGTTTGTAGTTTCATTAACCAGGTCTGAGCTAAATCTCCAACTTCAATAAAACAATTGAGGTAAACTGAAATATAGTGCTAGGTGACTTTCCAGCAACAGATAAAATGCCTTCACTTTCTTTGTTCCTTGTCTGTATAAATGACAAATACAGATTAATGGAATCCTCAGAAAAAGAACAATATGGGAACTAAATGGAATGAGCAAATGTTTTCTTGAAACTACCCTTTCACACTATGAACAATAATTCTTCTTTAAATTCCCAGTAGGTACATACATTTGCCTCCCACTCTGAATTAGGTTGAAAAGGTACTGAATTTGAAAACTGTTAGAGGAATTACTCACATATGGATAAGCAGGAGGGCCACTAAAACCAGATTAAAACTAAACATATTTTAAAGGCAGATTTTAACAACATCCCGAATAATCCCGTAAAACAGACACTAAAATGCATGATCTTGTCTAGCAGCTCTCAGTGATTGCTGTGGTTGGATCACTAATAGGGAAGAAGCTGGGGGAAAGGCAGAGCCAGAAAGCAGGAACACGTGATGGGGAAGCAACTCTGGGGAAGGTGGAAGAGCTGCAAATAGAAAACTTGCAGGAGAAGTTAAGGAGGAGGCCAGATGGGCTGGCAGAAAACACTACTCAGAGAAGCCCAAGGTAATATAATTGCTTAACTGGTGAGCATGTCTGAGCCAGGAGCTGCAGGATCGCCCTTTACTTGTCTTTCCAGGCTGCACATTGCCACAGGTATCTTCTCTTCAGCCCTTCTGCTCTTCTGCTCCTCCTTCCCACACTGAGAATCTCCCCATTATTGAGAAAACAGTCATTACAGGAGCCATCCAGCAGTTCCTGGGAGACAGAGGGTGACCTTTCCAGATGCATATATATTGACAGAGAATTCAATTTCTGAGCTATTAGCACATCATTTTACCTAAGAACTATGTCTGGAAATATTTCCTTAATGCCAAAATATTCTTCAGAAAATTGAGCATTGGGTTTGTTTTAACCAAATTGAAGCAATTTATTGTATTAAACAGGACAACACATTTTGCTCTAAAATCAATGATTGTCAACTGCATTTTTTTTAGAATACTTCCTTCTGGGAATTCAGACATCCTTAGCATAAGTGAGCAAGACCTTCAATTTGCTGCAGAGTTGTGTATGTCATTATCTAGCTACACATATTCCAATTATTTCATCCTGGGAGGAGCAGTTCTCAGCCCCACAGAGAAAACTGGAGGTCAGGCAATAATGGCAATAGAGAGGCTGATCAGCTCATGACCAAAAGAAAAGGAACCAATTCAGTTGCAGGAATGCAGTGTTTTAGTGCAATCAAAAATGACCTCCCAAAAAATGTCAATGTTTCCAAAACAATGTTCTTTGAAGGCAGAACAATGTTCTTACAACTTTGCCTTCTCTGGAAACAAAAGCAAACATTGAAATATCCAAAGGGAGGAAAATGTGCAATTTTTTTCTCATCTGCTGGTGTCTGCTCCCCATTTTAGGACACAGCCTAAACAATGGAGGCTAAAAGGTTCAGATGGTTAAAAAGATATAATCTGAGCTCCACGGTAAAAGTTAGTATGACAGACATGAGTCTAGGAATCCTGCCAGTGCAATGAAAGTTTTATTTGGGGTAGGATGTTTGTGATTGAAATCTAAATACAAACAAACATATGTGTAATGTAACTGTTCGTGCACCTACAAGGCACTAAAAGCAAAATCACAAAGATGTCCTGTCATCAAAGCTCAGCATTAATTTACTTTTCGATTCCAGCCAATTTGTTATCGCAAATGCTCTCAATTAAGAGTGTTTTATTTGATACAGGGTGGATTTAAACAATCTTTTTATTCTGGTGATAGAGATGCACTTAGCAGCATATAAAATAGTGATTTAATGGGTACTTAATGGTCTGAAGCTCTAAATGAACAAATCATAAATTAAGGCTTTTGTAGCCTTTTATGCTTTCCCATTTGGATCCTAAAAAAACAATTTGCATCCATTATGTAGGTCTAACATACAATACCTTGCCTCTCAATGACATTCAGCTGCATCCCAGTATTTGCCCCAATATTTGTATGACTGACACTGGTACCTTTGGAAGAGCTTCTAGTTCAAGGTCTGTGACACAATCTTTCCTTGCCAAAGGTGGACAGAATGGGTTCAGACTTCTCCAGGTGACTCTGAAATTGCTGCAATATCCAGATTGTGAGCAATCACTGACGAAAAATCCATCTCTTTGTCTGCAGTTTTCTTCGTAATTTCAGCCCAGTCAGCAGGGGTGGATTTTTGAAACCCTATGAAAACTGAATAGAGAATCTTGGTAAGTAAATAATAAGATTGCAGTGAGACTATACGAAGAGACTAAACCTTAAAGGAAAATGTAACTCCTTTGCATTTTTCTTCAATATTTTACCTGTGCCCAAGGGGCCTGAAGTGCTTTTGTGTGTGCCTCTCATGTCTGAGCATGCAGTCCCAAACTGCAGCACCTTTGTGACATGGAAAACTTTAAAAAACACGCTCTGAAGAAAGACGAGTTTGTTTGTTTGTTTGTTTGTGGGTTTTTAACCTACAATTACACCTATTATAAGGCTCTTTTTTGCCTCAGAATACTCTGTGGCTGGAGGGAACCAGAGTTGCCCTGTTGAGGTGCCATTTAGGTATTTAATTTTATATATAGGCAAATATTGCCACATCCTGAGGCACTGTGATTAACAGCACATCAGTAATGTAGCAATTGGAAAAATGTTAAATTAAAATGAAAAATAACGTAACACACACATACTTTATGTGAGAATGTAAAGATTCGTCTTGAGTTAAACACATAATTTTTGGATAAAAATATTTACCAAGACATGTAATTCAGTGCATTCTACAAGCAGGAAGAATTTTAATACTACTACCAAATCAAAAATAATTGTTCTAAAATTTTTAATCTTTTTACTGTTGTGGTGTTTTGGTTTTTTTTTCCCCTCTTCTGAACACTCTATGCTATTACCTTTCTCTTTCCCACTGGTATCTGCCAACGAGGCACTTTGAGCTGGTCTCAGTGGTGCCCCATAAACAGGGCCTGTCCATTTGTTGATCCATAACGTGGCGTGTTTGCATTTCCCCCTCTGTCCTGCATCGTTAGCACTCACCGTATTTTTACAGGCACTGGCATCTCTAGGTCATTTCAGTCATTTCTGCCTTCTGTGCAGTTTGCTCCCATTAAGGGCCCAGGTTTGCAATAATTCTCTCCTGATGGTTGCTTTTGGATGCACCATATTGCATTTTCTTTTGTTCTCGCCCTCAGGTCCATTTTCAGTTTTTGCCATCTTGCAGAGTCTAACAGGGTTATATAATGACAATGTTAGTATCTCAAATGGTACCTGAGAGCTTTCATCCTCATATTGTAAAGTTTTATTATATTTTTTTAAAATAAAATTAAAAAAAACCCTTTTAATATCACGTAAATTTACATGTGAATCCTCTGGCACAAAAAAATTTGTCCAGTTGCCTCTGGGACTGTCAGTAAGTAAATAGATGGCATCAACAAAACAAAATCAACCACATCATTCTCCACTTTTCAGGGGAAAAAAAAAAGCAGCAGCATCATCTCATGTATTCTGCAAACCTACTAATACTAAAATATGATTAAAAAGCCAAAACCAACCAAAAAAACCCCAACAAACCTTGTTGTTAGACCTTCAGAAATCAATCTGCTTACACTCCTCATATGTCTGTCATCTTTTAGGGACTTTGATATTTCAAATGAGTTGGTCTGTGGTAGCCTGTAAAGAAAGATATTTGTATAGAAATCAAGTGCCCTCAACTTCCTTAATAAAGATTCACTCTAAACGGTCTATTAAATGTTCTGACTGGTGTTCATGAACTTTTGCTGAATTTATATATCACAAACACTGGAACAGACTCAATTGCGGATGTGACAGGCTGAACTACTATAGGGGTGTTAACACACATCAACCCTGGAAATGAGTTTTCTGTAGAGGTTAGAGCTTAAAACTCTTTTTACAAAGAGGCCAGCTAACTGCATATTTTGTGGTTTGCACCTCCATCACCATACAGGTTTCCAGATCACATCTGTGTGCTGTTCTTCTCAAAATACAGAGGATTAACCCTCAAAGACCCCAAACTTGGGTTATGTCAAGATCCAGGTTATATGGATACTTGATTTAAAGCACTGGAACATGTCAAAGGGCTAGGGTTTTTTTGACATGTGGGGTTTATGCTTTAAAGTATTGCAATTACCACACCAAATGACGCATGGTGACTAAGAAAAGCCAAAGCCCACCTAACATGCAAACAGTCCCATTTATTGATTTACCAGAAAGTGACTAGAACTCTATCTCTGATTCCCTTTGCACACTAAATATTAATATATACTATGCTTTGTATGGTTTAAAAGGACCATTTTTGTCTCTCAAGTTGTTCATGAGCTAATAGAAAACATCACTTCAGTCTTACCTTTAGACCAGGTTCTTTCTGAAACAACTGTACATCCTGCACTGAGGGGAATCCAGCTTCCAGCACAGTCAGACCATGCCTGGGAACTCCTCCCTGCTTCTATGAGACAGACAAAATCCTGGCTCCAGAAGTATTTTGGTAAGAAATTCTAGAAACCAAGAAAGCTTTGCTAAAAACAAAAAAAAAAAAAGGCTTTTTCATTTAAATCTTCAATATTACTATTCAATTGCAAGTTCTCTGCCAAACTCTTCCATGCAAGTCCATTTGCATTTTTCTGCTAAATAATGTCTCAAAACAGGCATAACAACATTCTAGGAAGGCTTCAGACACTAGAATGGTAGAAAGCAAATGAACACTTTCAAAACTGTCCAGGATTAATATAAACATAAGGAATAAAAAACAGAATTCTCCTGTGTAAAGTTCTGACCGAGAACTGTATCAACCACATCATGGATTTGTGAGCAGGCATTGAGCAGCAAAGAATTCTAAAGGTATTACAGCTCCTCTTTAGCTACATGAAAAGAAAAAGAGTTTATTCATGTTTTAATCCTCAATCTTGTCAATATTTGCTATTTCTGAGATATAGAAGTATATAAGAGTCCATCAAGATGTTATTTTGATACTTATGGTAACATCAAATCTCCCCTAATCAATGGAAAAAATTTATCATCAGTGATGAAAATATTCATTCCTCAATGTTTTGAAGAGATATCACTGGGAGCAGATTACAGCATCGTGCTGCATACATTATACTATTATAGATTTCCACAAGACCAGGCAAATTTATGAACAAGATAATTTTTACAGGTTGTATTTAACATTTATTTTGTCATTTATATCATGTGATTCGGAGATTTCATTAAATGCAAACTGTGGGCACAGACATATGTGAGTTAAATACACATGTACCTAAATATCAATGGTTTAGAGTTTTATATTGTCAATTTTTAGATTTTTATTATATCAGTGTTTTACAATTACAGTACAAGAGAGAACCATGCTGGTAGCTCTACAACAGAAGCTTTAAATTAGTTAAAAACTGGTTTTAGCTGTGTTTTATACCTAATATTAATATTATTTTTTCCAAGGGGTAACATTTGGGCAAACAATCGGTCTTTCATAAGAGGTATAAGAAAGTCACCAGTTTCCCAGTTTTTGCATGTCATCACATAAATTAGCAGCCACTTAAAGCAAACAACTACTGCTACAACAGGTCAAAAGCAGAAATCATAGAACTATCTAAAACATTCCATGAGCATTTACAAATGATAACTGCCCAAAAGTGATCAGTACAAATATTCTTCACACACACAAGAAAACACAGTAAATAAAACTACTCTTCAGAGTTCTGTATGGGTTTCAGTCTTTGGGAGACTGGGACTAAAGTTTTGTTCTGTGACTTTTTTTGCAAAACAGAATCTGACACGAACACTGGAAAATTTTTGGAAATGATCTAAGGATTTTGACTGATACAATTTTTAACACAGATTTTACTATCAATATTTACGACAGAGCTTCTGCAAAGGAAGTCCTGAGTTATCCTGAAATGAGTAAATAGCAATGGAAGCATCTTTAAAAATATATAATATTGTTCATTATAATCCATAATTCAATTAGGGGGGTGAGGCTGCTTTACTTTCACTACTCACTAAATAAATTTTATTTTAGTGCTTACTACTTTTACTGCTGTGAAAAGAAAGAAAACATAAATACACCCTTTGTTTCAAAAGTTACTGACTACCATTTAAAGAGAAAAAACCTCCAAATATTTAAAAAGTTATATCATCCTGCTCCTGTCCCTTTGTAAGGAGTAACTGAATGTAGAGGTAGTGTCAAAGTAAGTTCCCAATTTAAATAGACAACCGAGGAAAATGCAATTAGACATTTGAATATAAAATTCCCATAAAGTTTTGATGTTGTTATTGTTGCTGTATTGTGAGAAAGCAAATTGTTCTCCTACAGAACTCTCAAATCTGCACTCAGAGCAAGGGAGAGAATGTGCTGAGCAACCAGCAACAGATGCACTGAGCTGGATTTGATTTATCTGGGGAGCTACACAATCACACCAAGTATTTGGGATCAGAATAAGCACCTTCTTCAAGGAGCCTGCACAGTGTGCACTGTGATTTTCTACCTGCAAGTGTTATGAAATGGCATCTGACAAGCATTAGGCTCCATTTTTCATAAATATTATTGATAGTTCTTTCCTCAGCGATTGCTTCCTGCAAACCTCGAATGAATGGAAACGAACAGACTTGCAGACAAGCCATGACTAACATTTTTCATGAGGTTTACATAAAGCAGGTGCTTAGCAGTGAAAAGACATATTTAATAGGAGCTCTAGGAATATTTCTTTATTCACAAGTCCTTGTAGTGCTGAAGCCTTGGCAATCCAAACCACTGGACTCTAAACTGGACACCAGCTCAGTGCTTGGTTGTTCAGTTACTCAGTGACCTGAATGTTTTCTTAGAGGGGAAAAATCAAAGCATCAGATGTTGTGGTTTTCTTTCTCATACTTCACCTTAGGCTAAAAATAGATTTTGCCGTTCTTATCTTTCGAGGCAGTCACAAAACTCCATGTGAAACACTATTTCCAAAAAAATCTTTGCTTAGTTGTAACTGATACGTCAGTTTTGTGAGTGCTCGAGATTTGTCACTCAGGACGTGACAGAAGAACTCAAAACCAGTAAACAGTGGAAAAAAAGAATATTTCACAAGCATGTCCATAGCCCTCTTGAGAAATCATAAGTATTCACTTTGTTCTTATTATTATTTTTTTGAAAAAGTTATGAGTTTGAGCAAAATGCTTAGGTCAAAAGCTTAAACATTAGTTAGAAAAAATGGGCTTCTTTGATCAAACATCAATTTTTGCAAGAATTTTGTTAGGCAAATAGATGGGTTTATGTCACTGAATTTCCATAAGTATTGACTCTAATCCACCTACACAGAGTCATACATTACTCCTGGCAAAATATATTTAACACAAGCACAGTTTTTAGACTTGAGGAATACATATTTTTAAACTGATCTTCCGTGATCAACTTAAAGCCAACCTAAAAATACGTTACAGTTTTTCACAGATTGATTTCTATTGTTCTACCCTTTCGCCAATCAGTTGTGTGGTAGCTCTTGCTGTCTGGGCTCAAAATATCTGCCAATCTTGGTGCAAGAGTGCACAACTGCATTCCCAGGATACAGCTGTTCACTCAGAGGCCTCAATCCCAAACCATTAACATCAGTGAAAGGTTGTTATTGATTGCACTGGATGGCAGAACAAGCTGTACCCAGGATGTGTTGCAAATTGCATTTGATGTGCTCTGGCTTTTTCCCTTCAGGTACTCGTGTGATCATAGCAAAAGACAGTTTAGCTTAATTCCTTACTGATTTAGAAGTGGGGTTTGGTTTGGTTTTTTTTCCAAAGAATTGCCTAAATTGAGTTTCTTTTGACATCCAATCAGTTCTAAGAATCAAAATTTTCTCTATTTTGTTTCTTTTTCAGTTCATCAGATCTCTCTCAGTGGTTCACACCGTGATGTTTGGTAGAAGAGTGAGAGAACCTGACGATCCTGAACTGCTGAGGGATGAAAGTAAGACAGATTAAGGAATGCATTTATGACCTTTGCTGCTCCAAGTTACTAGGAAAAGTTAAAGGATTCAAGCTAAGCATTAGACATATATATACATACATAAGCAGAGCAGACAGAAGCAGACCTTTCTATAAGTCCCATTCCCCAGGGATGGAGATGCCACCGTATTTCTTTGCCTCTTCCAAAGCCAAAATGCACAAGTTGCACAAGCCGCGAGTTGCTCACAGAAAATGGTTTTTAGCTTTCCCAGTGAATAAGTTAATTGCCCTCACACTTTAAAAATTAATGGGACGTGTGGGGGGTTATTTTGGATGCTGCTGCTGCCCACATAAATGTGATTTATCAGTGGTAGATACAGGTAACTATGTATTTTACATTGTGGGGCCAGGGCTTTGCAGTAACAAGCAATTACACGCTCCTGCCTGCTTTGCACCTGTGTTAATAACACTTCCAAAGCTATTAAATATGCATCTGTGTCCAAAATGAGTCCTGCCTGCTTGGATATGATAGATGAGAGCCAGAATCTTTATTTCTTTTTATGTTTGGGACACTGATATCCTACGTAGCTTCTCCTCTCATCATAAGGACTGTTTTTCTCAAGTTGAAGTCAGTAAGGCTTTATTGGCCTGAAAATACTCTCACTAAAGATGCCAAAATGAATTCTTAACATTCAGATTCTCAAAAATAGAAAAGGTGGGAGTCATGCATGGAAAGGCAACACCCTTTCTGGGTTAGTCTACAGGGGACTTTCTTGCAATTCTCCATACTTTCATTCCAAACAAAATTTTATTGCAATGGTGTAATGTTGCTCTCCTTTCTCTTCTCCTGGAAGCTTTGGGAAGGGATAAACATGCTTATTCTGTAAACTTTACTTTGCTTTTTCCAGCCCACCCTTCTCTTGTCTGAATTTGCCTTTACTGGGCTGAAATTTCAGGATATGATGCCTGAAAGAGCTCCTCGTGCACTTCTAAACACTCCTTCCAGGGTCATACCCAGTCATTTTGGGCCTAAAGTTCTTTATTTAGGAGGGACAGCAATAAATAATTTTTTTTTTGCATATGCTTTAAAATGTATGTATATACTTTTTTGTTTAAAAAAAAATAGTATTTAATTTTATTTTTCTTTTAACCATAGCTGCAAGTTTTAAGAACACACAAATAAACTGAGAATTTTGCATAACATAATGTTTTGGCAAATATGTTCATTCCATCTTTTATGTTTTGCCTAATATAAACATAATTTCTGTTTCTTCCATGGTTAATAACTGCAGGCATATGTGACTGCATACACAGAGAGCTGGGATTTTGTGTTTTCAAGTTCTATAAAAAATAAATAAAGGCATTTGTCAAAGGTTAAATATTTCTTATCAGGTTCAACCTCTGTTATTGATCTGGAGATTTATGGTTAAAACTAAGTAAACTATGTGACCCTGAACTAGAGCTCCTTGGGTTTAAAATGCAACATAATTCAGCCCTATTTTATATATTATTTACAAAAGCATATATTTTAACTTCTAAACACATGACTTCCCCTGTCTTTTGAGGGAAGGGTCACATCGTGATTGAAGCTGAAAACTTTCAGCACTTTCTGTTATCAGTTTGAGATGGGACCCAGACATTTCAGCCTGATTTTTTTAATGCTTTCCCAATTCCACAGAGGTGCCTGCAGACACTTAAGCTATTCAAAGTAGGAGTCTGACAATTGTGCTGCTGACGTGCTTATTCCCATAAAGAGTGAGCCACTCTGAGAGAACTCAATGGCCCATGGCTGCATTTTTAAGCAAATCCGTTGTTTTGACTAAAGACAGTTAAAATTTTAGAATAACAGCAGCAACAACAACATCCCATGGTGCCCCTGCAAGTCACTTCATACCCACCAAAGCGTGTGTATGACAATGACCACGTGTGAGGGGAGAAAGACCAGAAAATAAAATGTTTGCTTGTACGAGACTGGTTCAACCCAAAGTCTGAGCTGTGAACGTTTCAGTGCTGCCAAAGGGTTTCACCTGTGACCTCCCAGGGACAGACCTGGAGTCCTGGCTCCTTCCAGCCTGCCAGCAGCAACAGCTTCCAGTGGAACCAGGATGGGGGGCTCAGGTGAAAAGTTCTCAAGTTGCTGACTGGTCCATCAAACAACCCAATCCTCCAGCCCAGGACGCCTCTGAAACAAGAAGACATGCCATTAAAACTTGTGTGTATGTGGAAAGCGTCTGGCTGAACAATTAAAAATGTATGATGTTGCATTCTCCAGAAGAGTTGAAAATAAAGTGTAGTAATGATGAAATATTCATATTTAAAGTAGAGAAGTACAACCTCAGAACATAATATATCACGCTACAGTTGAGTCACTAACAATTACTATTCTGCACTTTTGGACCAAACGTGCTGAGGTACAGTAGGGAAACAGGTAAGGACTCTTATTTTTACTTCCACATATCCAAAATAAAATTAATTTTAGCCAAACTTGGTCTATGTTTTTTAATGATTACTGTTCATCTTTAAAGCAAGCTCAAAGAAACTTTTAAAATAAAGTAAGCAAGAAAGGAGGTCTGGATGCTGTAGAAAGATCTTCACGTGCTGTTGCATTTAATGTGGAATTCACAGGATTTCAAGAGATACCTCCTCACCTGAACCCGTTATCTCTTCACTGAAGAGTTTCTACATGGTTTATATGTAGCAAAAGCCCAGGGAGGAGTGACAGGGCACAGAGCTCTGGTGAGAGGCATCGGAGCTGGAGGCGTTTCTCCGGCTTTGCTGTGCACAGGCCGGTGCCTCTGCTCATGCAGATAGAGCAAATTAATCCAGCGGATCCTCACAAGAGTATTAAGGTTTGGTTTGCACATAAGAGAGGATTACTGTCAAGTTAAATAGTTTTATGTGTCAGACTTATCTCAGCAGTACGACTCCTTGAAAGTTGCCACCTCCCAGCACCAGGGAATGAGAAGATAAGACAAAGGCAAGTGCTGTGGCCACCCAAACAAGATTTATCAAAAATAGTGAAGAAGAATGGGATAGTAACCAAAGGAAGAAAAGTTTCTGCCTTGAATGTCTTATGTAATAAGATCTAAAAGGATAAGAAAAAAACAACCTCTTGGTAGTTTAGCCATCAGATTTGACAATAATTCCACAGAAATTTCACAGCGACTTGAGATAAGAGCAACTAGAGCACCATGTGGCTCCCAGTAATAACTTGGGAATTAGACACGTCAAAGACTCTTTTGCTGAGTTGGTGGTTTCAATTGTTCTGCTCTGGGCTTCCAGGGACTTTGTACATTATAGAAGTTGTAAAGCTGGAGTACTTAGAAAGCCTACACCCACCAAGACATAAAGGGGCCGAGTGATAAGGTTAACAGAGGACAGCAACGTGATCGGACAAAAGAGACCAGCAGGAAGATTCACAGTGAGAGACAGATACAGCCTGACTCAGCATAACAGTGATAAAATCATCATCACCACAGAGGAAAAGAAGTGTCTGAATTTAAAAAGTACGCGGGGTAGAAATGTCAGCAATATGCACCCTGAAACCAGAAAGAAAATCAGGAAGGGGAATATGGAGATCACTTAGAATCCTTTGAATGCAGCCTTTTGGAAGGTAATAGCTGTTGTTAGAACTGTCAGCTATAAACCAGCCAGAAGACAGATGTACTTGAAATGTCTTGTCCAATAAAGATCCCAAATGTCACTCAAAATGATCAGACTATTTATTACAGAATTTGTAATGGGAACATGAAAGAAGGCGTGGAACGATAGAACAGAGACAGATGGACTGTTTGCTACGTGTCATTTAATATCAATCAGTGACAAGAATTTATTAACACAGTTGCTGCTTTAATGCACTGAACAAGCCTAAAAACATTCAACACGCTAGATGGTAGGTGATAATTAAAATGCATGTCACAAGGCTTCAAAAAGTGTAATAGTCTCCTGAAAATATCCAGTATAACCTAATTATTAAAAAAAAATATATACCTCTATTAGCTTTTGAAGGATTAAGGTTGTTTTTCTATCAGCAGCTACTGAAAGATGAACTGAACACTTACCTCATACTGATAATACTGTCTTCTGCTTTTTCTTCACCAAAGTCTACTTGTTCCCTTAACTTTTAAGCATGATCCTTGCAAGAGATCTACTGGAAGCAGGACAGAAGGACTGAACAGACAGAGGAGAGCTCCTAGTGAGGGAACACGAAGCTGCTGGAGATAGCCCAAATGCCATGTTATTACCCAAGCACTACATACCACAGTTTTATTTTTCCATTCATGTATCCTACAAGTTGTTTCTCAAAGCAACTCTAATTCAGCAGCACTGTGCATTATATTTACATATATTGCCTGTAGGAGGAATTCACCAAGCAATATTTATTACACTGAAAATGACTGGAGACCTTTTCTCATTCCCTCCCTTGAATTAGTTCTTCACCCAGTTTAGAGCTGCCAGGCCCAGGGAGCCCTTTTTGGCATTTCCAAACACTTATCTATCAGCCCAGTTATTTGTGCAAGAGCATTTTCTAGGTAAAAATGCTTGGAAAATATTCAGACAAAAAGGAATACAATGACCTCACTGTATATATTTAAATCACTAGGTTATGCCAAAACACAGAAATCTAAATACCAGTGTCCATTTTTACCATGATGAAGAAAAATGTATTTATACATGATATATTTTTGTAACAGTTAAAATAACTTTAAATTATTATGAAAATCCCATTTGGAAACTGAATCAGAGCCCAGATTTCCTGGAAAAATTCATATTTTCACACAAGTTTGGTGGCAGATATTCCAACTGTTTCAGTAGTGAACCTCAAGATAGTTTGGAGTTCAAAGATAGTTTTGGTGTCCAATTCCCTTTTGCAAAGTCCAGCTCTGCTCCTTCCTCCCAGTATTCATAGCCTTCTAATGATTCCTTTCAGCAATATTTATATACTAAGACACATAAAAACTAAAAAGCAGAGACCAAGCAATTTCAAACACATATTCCAGCAGGATTCTGGAAAACAGAGATAGAAAAATTTTAAACCTTCGCAATTTTCCATGGGAGATATTTTTGTTATCGGACTGATGTTGTCAAAACGTTTAATGTTTGCCATCTCTGTAAAACCATTTAATCAGCTGCATTCTCTGTACACAACCAAATCTGCCTGACAGCCCCTAGCCTGATCCACAGCTTTGAAGAATGGAGGGAATATTATATTCACACATATACCTAGAAATCTTCTTCACATAAACTGAGGATCTGGCCTTTTCCTCCAAACCCAGTTGCTTAGCAACTCATGGAGGGGTTTTTCAGAACATTTTTAGAAAATAAGGCCCAGTTGTTTAACAACAGAGTTTTAAGCCTTGAAACTGTGGGGTTTTTAATGGCTGAGAGTCAGTAACACCAATCCTAAAAGAGAAAATCATTCTCCCACTGAAAACTTTTCCCTCGTTCCAAAAGGCAGGAATTCCTGGTTGTTGCCTTTCCCATTTCTTTTTATTTTGAAGCCAATATTGATCAGGCTCTGCTGCCATTTCCCTGCTCTTCCCCTGAGCACGAAAGGTGCTGAATGTGTTCCTGGGTTCCAGTTCCTCCTCCTCTCAGAAACGATCCTTTCACGAGCACTTAGGAGAAATGACAAATGAGGTCCATAATGTGCCGTGTCACCGGAGCCCTAATCAAATTAGACTTACTACCTTTGCAATCACAAGTGGGCCTTCATGTTTTATATCCCAACACAATTTGAGTCAAGTTAGCTTGCCAGAACATTGCTCCCATCCTCATAAAAGTATATGACAGCCATAAGCAGCATTTTGGGAGCAGGCAGGTGCAGCACAATACAGGCACGGGAAGTCTAATGAAAACACACAGCAGACTGTTTGCCTCGCTAAAAACTGGATTTCCATTAGCAATGCAGACAAATACCAATGGCAAGCAATTAAGAGTGATTTGGGCAAGACATTCTGCGGGTGTATTAGATTAATTCTGATGGCATTAGTTCGCTGACGTGCTAATTCTGGGTATTTATTTAGGCAGTATAGTGTGGCTTTGCCTCTAACATGACTGGCTGGGGTTTATTTCCTACTGCAAGGAACCAGAAAGGCAAAATGCTACAAGAATTTGTTTTGCCTGATGAAAAGGCTTGTGCTCAAGTGCTTACAAACTGTGACTCAAAAACCAGGAAAGAAAGTAGTCTGAGATATACATCATTTACTGCTTGATTAAAACACTTAAATAAGTCCTGAACTGTTAAGAATAATAAGTAGCATCTCTGTGCATGATTTCTAATCCAATTATTTTTAAGAACTGCTAGAAATACAGCTAAGCATTATCACCTTTGCCCTGAAATCATTGCAATCACACAGCAAATGAATAATTTAGGCAAATTGTATTAGGAATTAGTTTACAGCTATTCCATGAGACTCTAGTATCATGAGCTTACTAGACAGACAAAAAAAGGACAAAGTTCACAACTGTCTCACCAGGAAGACATTCTGGGTTGCAATGTTATACGGAGGGATAAATGATGTGTTAACACAGGACTCCAAAATTTGAAATTCATTGAAGAGAAAATTTATTATGGCTTCTAATGGATCTTTGTGCTGTGCCATCTGACAGAGCATTTTATAAATTTCAATGTTTTTGTAAACATTAAAAAATTTTAGCCGCAATCTGTGAGATTTCATTTCCTGATGGTTAATGGGTCTTGCTTTTCACCTTTATGGTTATTGTTTCGGAGCAGGGCCAAGCTGGATCTGATACAAAGCATCCTAGCAGATTCCTCACTTACATATTTTGGTTAGCTTAGGTACCTTTAGCTCAAGGAAATGCTTTGGTTTAAATTATGTGACATTTCTCAATATTCCACGATGAATATTCCACAATGAATACCATATCCCAGTCTGCCTACAGATTTCACCAAAGAGAATGGAGAAAAGGAAGCAAAAGCAGAGTCTGATGTTCTGAAAAAAGTTAGCATTCTCATAATTATACAAGTTTTAATCATTTACATCCAGTGGAATATAGAACAGCTATACAAAACCAAGATACCTGTACCCAAAGGGACAGAACAGAGGCCATACCAGTGAAAAGGCTTACAATTTCAATTCAAAATTATACCTGTGCTGGTAGCATCAGGGACCTCCAGATTTCTTCTTTTTCTTGACTTTTGCACCAAGAACAGTAACTTGGAGAGGGCAGAGTCGGAAAAAGTCAGCTACCCCAGCAGGGTCAGGCAGATTCTCAGTCATAACTAGATCATATTTTGCAGCTGCTGTGGTCACACAGGTGTAGCAGGTCAAGCAGAAGTAGCACATAGGCTTTTATTAGAGGGCAAAAAAAGAAAACTCCATGTGGCAAACCCCATAAAGCAGTGCTGTCATGATACCATTGTTTGTATTGTTATTAGTAAAATGTACTGCTCGGGGATAATTTAAGAATGAAAGGATCAGACCAGAGCAAGGACATGAGAAGTTTAAAAATGCAGAGTAATCTTGAATAGAACTAAAACCTGTAATTAACTAAAGTTGCTCAGTGATATACATGCTGCCCCTCAGTGGTCTTCTGGAAAGGTGCCAGGTTATGGTTCCATTTGTCATTCAGAAACACTGTCATACACTTACTTAATTTACATCATTTAAAAAATAAGTGCAATGAGCCACAATATTCACTAGCTGTGGTTCTAAAACCCTGGCTGGTTTTTGCTAGAAACTTGTGCAATACTGTACAAAGACTCTATCTGAAGCACCAAGTACAAGAAATTATGGGATGACAGTCATCAACTGTCATTGAAATAATCATTTAGGCATCACTTGTCCCACATGTTACTCACACCTCAGCATTTCTCCCTGTTTTGCAAACTTTCAAAACCAGTCCTGGCACATCCAAACCTTTCTCTGAATTCCCAAGGATTAGATTTCCCATAACAACATTGAGAAGAAGCACAATGTCTGTCATATTCACCTTCTCCAAATACTTTGCTTTTTTTATTACAATCGTGAGGAAAAGCTGCATCATTATCCCTGTTTTAGGCACAGATCAACCCAGAGGCACTGGGGGCACAAAAAGCATGCATAAATATTTACAAATTGTCAATACCTTTTCCCATTTCTCAGTGTAAGCTGATGAATCATTACAGATGACCATTTTCTCATTTTAAACCATGATTTTTTTGGAAAAGATGTCCTATGTCAAAGTGATGAAGCCTACATGGATACTTTAAATGTTAATTTTATGTCAAGACACACAAATAGATACTGTTCCTACTATTTCTTTCAATTATTCTGAAATAGAAGTAGTGCAGTGACCTGACAAAATTTACAGATGACCCAAATTTTTTCAGGTAGCTCAAGATTGGAAAGGATTTTGAATAAATCCATAGTGATCTAACAAGGCAGAAAACATGAGCATATCAACAATCAAAGAATGTGAGCATTGCATATGAGCCACTGCATATGAACAATCAATAAGCAATTACTAAATTTAACCCACTTAAGAAGCAAATAAAAATATCAACTCAGAAAAAAAAATAAAAATACTTTAAAGTCTAATCTTATTTTATATGTAAAAAAGATTCGCCAGTCTCTGCAGAGGAAAAAACAACTGTACCCTGAAATTGTTTCATAAACCAGTGCGTCTACCATTCAGCTATTTTATTTGCTTCCCAATTTCCAATTATTTATGGCAACTTTTAGTTGTGGAACTCCGAACTTGTGCTGGCTGATCATAAGTAATTTCTAATATATCTGATTCCAGACAAGGATTAATTCTATAATTATGACATTTCTTTCAAAACTAATTCATAGATATACATTTTTTCCCTTTTTTTTTTTTTCTTAAGATCAAATCTAGAATCAAATTAATGGCTGTTTTAATTTACTCATTCTGTTCCCTGGCTCCATTTTCTTATTAAAGATGTCAACTACTATTTCAACACTTGTCTGAGAAACGCCAACCTCTTGGGAAAATATATGTAAATCTCTATGTATTTCAGGCTGACAAGGCACTGGCAAGATGAAAAATTGTAAAGAAGACTTCACTGGTGCTTCATCAAATATGACAGTAAAAAATTAAAAATTAACATAATTCAACAGTATCTATTTTTGAAAAAAAAGTCAGGCTTTCCATGTGATAAGTTTGATATTAATAAAAGTTGCAGTTGGTGTTTTCCCAAGATCAGGGCTGGTCTAAAAAGGCTGGCACCTTTTCAGTCCTCCTTTCAAGCTGAAAGGCCTTCATCATGATCTCTGCCAACGTGTGACTTGCAGCGCCACGGGTTCCGTGTTCTGCAGGCTAAACACAGCAGATCAAATGCTTTGCCAGTTTTTAAGAGAAGATCCTCGTGATGCTTCATGGTATTACACAAAATGAAGCTCCCAGACAACTGCTGGTGATGTGAATGAGGGGCAGAGGGGCACAGAGAGAGATCCCCCGGTACAACCCCGATGCCCAAGTTGTTCTGCTGACAGGCAGAAGCAACAACTAAACAAAGGGTCACAGTATTTTTCTGATGTATTAAAACTGTTTCTCAGCCTTTGTTCAAATGTCACACGTGTCACTGGCTAGAATGTATTAGCAGCTCCGTGGAAATGAGTGGAGCGTGCAGCGGCTGACAGGACCAGAATGAGATTTCAGACATGGTGTATGGCACCATGGTGAACTACTGAAATTTTCATATTCGTGTTTTTGCTTTTCTCAGGAAATATCCATGACTTGAAATAAGAAAAAAGAGTTTCAAGCCTTCTACTAAGATGTCAAGAATGCAACAGTGCTGGTGCATTAGCTATTCAGGTGACATTACGTCCACAGTTCCCACTGAAACATGTGCTTACCAAAAAGCAAATCAATATGCTTTGGCACAAACGTAAAAATACACTGAACAATTTCTGAATTTCTAATAAAATATATTCCCAAGTTTAATACCTATTCTTAAAAAGAAATCTAAGTTTGTTTATTTTTTAATTTACCTTGAAGTCTGTGCACAGATCAATGGTTCGCAGAACAATTTCCTTTGCAAGGACATTCTTCCCAGTTCCCAGCAACAGCAGATTTATGTCAAAGGCTGCCAACAGATGAAGTTGTTAGAGGAATAAATTTATATTTATCAGAAAATGAAACAATCTTGCAAACATCTTTACATTTAATCGCAGAAGTCCTCTTCTCCTGCCTATGTTCCAAACATCCATGAGGATTAGAGCATTACAAGAAGAAATGCTTTGTCCAAACAAATTATTCTGTCTCAAACATAGAAGAGGAAGAACACCAGATGTTCAAAAGGAATTGGGTATAAATTTAAGAATCAAAAAAGGATGATGAATATGGACCATGAAATAGAGCATTAAGCAATGTGATGAGCATCTGTTGAGTAATAAATCCAGTCTTTGTGCAGTTCTCTTTTCAAAGTGAATGTAATAGGAAAGTTTTCTAGCCTGACGAAAATGTTGTCAAGGCACAAAATACTGGTCCTTTTAAGAATGGTATTTTATATGCTAATATGAATAATCACCTACTAATGATAAAATATATAATAAACAAAAATTTAAATATTAATGTATATATTTATATTAATTAATTATAATTATATTAATTAAGTATAATTTTAAAAATAAATATAAATAAATTAATAAAAATAAAAATATTGAAAATAAATAAATAAAACCATAATCATAGATAAATAAAATAAGTCCATGAAATACAAGTCTTTCACTTTTACAAGTAGATAAATTGCTGCTTTTGTTGTTATATAATCCACATGGGAAGCTATAACTGACTCACCTCATGAGAAAACACAAGCAGACATGGAACTCTTGAAAAACACACGTGCTCCAAAATGGCAGACTGGCACATGGCTTGACACAAAATGGCCGTGACTGACTCTGGGAGCTGGGGACGAGGAGAAGTAGAAGTTTGAATGCTGGAGAAAGAAAGTAGAAGACAATTTAGATGAAAGCAGGATGGAAGAAAGCTTCGTGTGATGTGAATTCACTGGACTCTTACCGTTACCTCAGAATTTTTAACGTTTTAACGATAATATATGTTTCCTATGTTGTTCTTCTTTACTTGCAGTTATTTCACCTCATGATTCCCCTCATGTTTTATTCCCTATTTCTGATTCGTCAGTTGCTGTCATAGTGCAGAGTTACCTTATTCGGTTGTGTTCCACCCCTCTTTACCTTACATATTCTATAATCCCTCCTATACTTTTCCTAATATAGATTGTCCCCTCCTTTACTGTCCTTTAGTGGAATGTTAATGTCCCTTGTTCTGGTGAATTCTATCCTTCTCATATGTAAGGAGAGCCATGTTAAATAAAGGGAGACCCACTTCCTCCAAGAACCCGGAGTACTTGTCACTTTGTTCCTCACAGGTTGTGACAACTGACCCCATGGCCTGCCATAAAACGGTGGAGTGAGTCCGGCCTGACACAAAATGGTGGACTGAGCCCAGGGCCTGCCCCAAAATGGCGGAGTGATCCTATGGCCTGCCACAAAATGGCGGTGAGCGACCCCGCGGCCTGTCACAAAATGGAGGACCGATTTCATGGCCTCACACAAAATGGCAGAGTGGCGCCATGGCCCGTCTCAAAATGGCGGGCTGACCCCTAGCCTGACACAGAATGGCGCTGGCCGACTGTATGGCCTGTTTGTGAAGTGCCTTACTTTGTCGGGACATTGTTTTAAAATTTGCCAAGTACCTTATTCTACCTCAACGTTTTAAAGTCCGCAAGTAAAAGTTTGTTGAACCTCCTGAGAATTTTGTCATACCTCCTCCACGCAGCCCAGAGTGCCTCAAGCAACCTTCCCTTGCCACGCGAGATGGGGTATTACAGTCCTTCTTTTTTTTTTTTTTTTTTTTTTGTGTTAGGAAAAGTAGGGTAAAAATAGTTTGGGGAGTTGTGGTGTCTTTTGGTACAATGGCAGCCAAGATTTGCCCTGGCAGCCTTTGCTGTGTGGCAGAGGAAATGGCTTCAACAGGGACTCTGGGAAGTGCCCCAGCTGACCCGTCTGGGCTCTGCACAGCCCATTGCAGAGTAGGAGAACTCAGCTACAGTTCAAGATATAAAACTCCCATGTGAACAGCAACACAAGTGCTCTTTAAGGTTCACATCTGAGATAAAAGGGCACACTGATGCTTTTTGAAAATAATCCTTTTTTTCCTCAGTGTGTGTTTTACCAGCGCCCTGGGTTCTGGTTTGGAGTGGGAAGTTTTTAGCCTAATTGCCCCAGCCAGCTCAGGGTCTGTGTGGAAGCCCCTTGCTCTGGAAAATTCCAGGTGAATAGCAGAATCCCTGCTTTTGTGTCTGGCTTCAAGTGTGTGTGCTTTATTCCATCTCTGTCTGCCTAAATGTGTATGACTTCTGTTCTAAAAGATGAATTCACAGTCTATATTTCCATACTGTTATTTTAGAAAAGCTTTTATCTGCAAATAGCTATACTCTGAAGTGAGTCTGCAAGCAACATACCTGGGAAGTGTAGGCTTGCAGTTCCTCTATTAGTATTTAAAGTCACTGCTCAAGTTTTACTAACCCTCTGCTCTGAGCAAACCCTCCCATCTTTACCTTTTATTTTAATGACTGATTAGAATTTCTAACTTAACTCGTAACACCAGAACGTGTTGCTGCTCATCTTTCACCTTCTCACCTTTGAATGTTCATTCATTATTTAACTTCGCACTTCCTGGTTATTTTTAATTTATGCTGTGCAGGTGAATAGACCAGTTTTGTTCATCTCTCGCTGAATGGCAGATCAGCAGCTGTTGCACCGCTCGCCACAGTTGTAACGGATTAATAAAATAATTTTTCGTTATTTCCTACCTTTTGGAAAATATCCCCATCACATGAACAGTGTCTTGACATAAAAACTGTAATCTCTACAAACACAGAATTAAGCTGCAGTATTGTTCTAGGTCAGACTTAACATATTTTGTGTTAATCAACAACACAGAAACACAGGTACCTGCTACGCTCGCAGCATAACAGTTTTATCTTCCAACATATCCAAGTGGATATTTTAATATATACTATTTAATATATTTTGGTACATAATATTTAAAAGATAATAGTTGAACTTAACATCCTCCTAGAAGTTTTAGAGCTCAGTTACAGGTCTGCTGGCACAAATTATTAACTTGCCAAGCTTCAGAGAATTCTTATATGTAAACAGGGTACCGCAAAAAATGGCATTTCCTCCTCCAAAAATCAATTATGTTTAAATGAAGCAGATGAACATACATTTTAATAAAAGAATATTCCACTATTCTATATAGAGACGCAGTATTATACAGCATTTCTGAGGGAAAACATTAAATCCATAACAAAGCAAAAAATCATCTAAAATACTGGTACCAAAGTGAAGAGGATATGTACCAAGGACTCTTTATTGAGCTTGAAGTAATTATCTCCAGAGGTTTAGGAAAAGTGGTTTAGTGCTATATCTGTCATACTACCCCACTGACATTTCCTCCCTGTATGCTTATTGGTGTTACTAAGGGAGTGATTGTAAAGTCTTTGGAACCAATTTGCTGGGATGCAATTAGCAAAGAGATCAAGTGAATTCCCTTTGTTCACCCACACTGCAACAACACGGTCTAAACTTGTCTAAAACCTGATTTATCTGAATGATTACAGAAAATGAAAATATTCCCTGAAATATTCCCAGCCAAATGCCCTGAAATGCAATGGCACGTGGAAGGAGATAGAGATCCAGCCCACAGTGGGCTGAGTTACCTGTAGAGCTCTTGTACAGCCAGAGCACAACAAAGTTGCTCCCTCTTGGAGGCAAGTATGTAATTATGAAGTGCAAGCTGCTGTTTGAGAACTGTACAAAGAAGATAAAATGGCAGAGAACATTTAGATTTGAGCGCAAACTCTCTCAGCTATTTCCTTTTCCTTTCTTTCCTAGAACCATTTCAGATCCAGCTTTAAACATCTTTATGCCTTTTGAGAGCACTTTCAAGCAAAAGGCTTGGTTTAATTTAATTTTTTGCAAAGTACTTTACAAGTGAAAGGAGGAAAATGCTGGTCAATGAATCCTACAACTCTCTACATTTCCAGGAAACGCTGAATTAAGTCTCAAAAACCTAATGAACCTTTTGCTTGAGGGATGTTGCTCTATAAAAGGGTCACATGAATGCCCCATCTCCTTCTCATATTTATTAATGTGATTTGAAGAGAATTAATTCAGTTTTCAAAACGTTGCTTCATCTTAAGAGAGTGCAAACACCACATTGTTGGGAAATACATTTCCTATTGCTCTTGCTGGACCCCAAGGTGGAAGTCTTGCACAGAAATGGCAAGTTGTTTGTGTGGGTAGAGGATAGGTCCAACTTCGAGGCTGAACTTGTCTGCCTGGCTGTTGTACCCAGGTTAACACTGTTTTAATGGATTTTTTTTTTTTTAATGCATTTTTTCATTGTGCATGAAAAGAGAAAGGTTGGTTCATTCTGGTCTTTTAAAGAAAGGCTTCTTACATGATTTTTATAGTGAAATTAGATTCTGTTCACACAGGGACCCAAACCCTGTACTTCTATTTATGTATCCTAGCATAATTATACAATTTAAAATGTCAGGTGCTGTAAATGTTAATTCCCAGATCATACATACAGACACACAGGGTTCTCCAAGTGCAGCTCAGGGCAGGCATGGTCCACATCCATTAATCATTTTCTCCCTTACACAAGAGTTCCACCACAGTTCCATTGTCAAAATTTTGTATAAATCAGATGAAGGAATGCGAGACTCTTTGCTTACAAGAAGAGAGGAACAAAAAATAACTCCTGGTTACTTTTCAGAGCTCCAACCCTAATGCACATTTATAGTATTCATGAAGAGAAGAATCATTTTCCTGAATATTAATATTCATAAGAGTGGGGCTAAACAACATCAGATTCTTCCTACTGACTGCTGCCTTCATCTAGAAGATTAATTAAATTAGGTTCTATAAGGGCAGTGGGTTTTTTTCAGAAGTCATTTGGAAAGGAATGGTCTCTTTATCTAAATGTTATCTTTGGGCAATAAATTCAGCAGCATCACTGCAGGCGACACTACTCATATTAAATTAATGGCTTGGAGAGCCTGATACTTCTTAACGAGCTTAATACACGGGGAAATTATTTAAGTCAAGATTTTTGTTTAATATTAAAATATGCTGAGTTCTCTTGGAAAATGAAGATAGTATACTCCTTGAACCAGAAAAAAAACCTTACAGATTCCCTTCACTGTGTTCCACAATGAGAAAAAGGCTGATAAGGAACATTTCATAGAAAAATACAAATTTTTTAAATGAGATACTTCATCAAGTTTTGAGCAAGTTCCTGGATAGGACTCAAATGCCCTCAGGCTGATGGAGGAGTTGAACCCAAATTTCATATTTCTGAAACAAGCAGAAGTATCAGTGCAGTGCAGATAACAGTGCAGTGGCACTACCATCTTATCTCAGTTTGTTAAGCAAAAACTTGGCTTATGTGATTTAGTGAATATTTTAAACCATGCAGCAAATATGTTTAACTTTTATTATTATTTCATTTGTACTTTTATCAATCCCTTTATCAGAAGCATGTTCGAAATAATTTCTCAATTTAATCTTTTCCATAAAGGCTTTCTTAAATTGAAATGTGACTTAGAAAATTCTCACCCCAAATGCTGACCCAGTTCTTCCTACCCTCCTCCAGTTATTTGTTTATTCCTACTCAGGGCAAGGTAACTGTCAGGGTCCAGGAAGCAAACTTTAAGTAAGTCAATGCCCAAATTATTAGGTGATAAAGTTCACAAAAGCTTCATTTCCTCCTTAGACAAACTAAGAAACTTTTAACACTTCCCAAAAATATTTATTACCTGGGAAAATCATTTCTTGTCCTCTTTTGGTACATGTGCAGGGATGAAATCTTCCTGTAAAGAGAGGCAATTATTTACAGCTAGGCCAACAAATTTATATGCATCCACAGTGTTATTGTTTTTATGTCACCTTGAGCTCAAGCAGCTCTGGTTGTTCCCCCCTCTCCCTGCAGAGACCAAACAAGTTGATCTGCCCGGACCTTAATAGAGACTCGAGTAGCATTTTAGGTTGTGAGGCTTTAGCAGCTTTAATCCCTGTATTAGTACACATGGAAACACAATCTATAACATGTCCCACTTCAAGATTAAACAGCTCTCCAAGTCTTTAAGCAACCCACATCCACGTCTAAACCTAATGACTGCTTCTAGCTTATGGTCCTTCTCCAGTACACGCCCAAGGAATATGTAATGGCTTTTTTTCATCATCATAACTCCATCAGAGCAAGAATCTAGGTCAGCAGGCACAATATGAGATGGCCATTCCAGGGGATTTTTTTTCCTTTTTTCCTACTCAAGTTATCCCTCCTGTTCAGAGTCCCAGGGAGGAGGACACACAGACCCCATCTGGCTCTTCTGCTCCTTGTCCCGCAGGAGTGCATTGATTTTTCCCCTCCTTTTAATCTCACCTTTTAGTGTGCAAAGCCCTCAAGGAATGGGCTTTCTCTTCCCAGATGTGGCCAGAAAGTAAAATAAGGCCTCGAACTCAGTTTTGCATCTCTGTGTCCTGTCTGAGTGAGCCACTATCTTCTCCTGCACATGGGCTTGCAGTGGATTTAAAGATCCATAAACCATCCAACCTGTGCAATGTTCCCTTCAGACACTGGGATGGAGAGAAGATGATCAGCTTATCATGGTTTAATTCATGCTAACTAAGAAAAAACTTTGAAATGATGAGTTTTGCCTCACTAAAGCAAATTCTGAATTATACTGACCTCATATCATTTTAGGTTTTTTTAATAATACAAAAAATATTTCCGAGTTAGGTCCAGCTACGATTGGTTTTAACGGTTACTCTTCTAAAATTTTCCTCATACTAATTCCATCTGGAATTTTTATGAAGCCTCCACAATGTGCAATGAGAGGAAAAAAAGCCAAATGAAAAACAGCACTATAAGTATATAGATATATCAGTAATTACTCCTATTTTAATAGCAGCTTCCATTATTTATCATTCTCGCAGGCAGTACTGATTTTTCAGCCCCATGTACCAATCAACCTTTCTTAATGCTTTTCTTAATCACGCTGGTATCAAAGATTACAATATGAAAGTACTTTCTTTGCAGCATTACATATTCATTTTGGTTAGTGGGGAAAGAGATGGAGAGCTAAAGCCAAAATCCTACTTAATTCTTGGAAACGTCAGCATTTGTATTCATTTCTTTGACATTATGATGTGCCACTTGGAGTGGAAATGCATTTTATAAATTATTTTTTTCAAGTGAATATCTCTGTGCTCGCAGAACAAAAATGTACATCGGCTGTATTTGGTTTCCTAATGTATTGTAACATAAGCCTACCTAATTAAAAATAAAACTTTATGTATCTAACCATGGAGATATTGGACACATTTATAAACTCTCAGAATCTAGCTATACAGAGAAAAAATATTCTACTTTTCTTAGTATCTTGCCATCCCCCTGATGGGAGTTTAATGCTCAAACTTTTCATGAACCGAATTCTAGGCTTAAGTGTTCCTTTCAAGTCAAATCGACACAGCCAAATTTATTGATACAAACATATCGTATTTTTCCCGTGAGAGTTTCTCTCAGACTAATGTTGTGTTCTGTTATAGATAATTAAAGTGGCTCTAAAACATCATTTATAGTAAGGCAAAAATTAATTTACTGTGAATTTTTAACTAAGGGTCGCTTTCAATATTACTTATGTAAATATGCTAATGGCCTGAAAACCAATTTTCTGTTAAAAAAAAGAAAAACATATCTTCATCTTCTTAGATCTCAAAGTCTCATTAAAAAACTCCAAACTCCAGACAATAAGCCAAGATATAAGATTCGTTGTGGAACTATGAAATTTGACAGCTGGAATGTTTTGATGTGGTAGCTTTTTTAACATTGCTTTTTCCTTTATTTTTTTTTTTTAAGATGCAAGTCATATTTTTACATCTCAGAGTTTCTAATTTTTCTGAGTATTAACAAGATCTTGCAAGTGCTTTGTAACTATCCAAAAATAAAAATTTTGAATTTGCAAAAAAACCCCAACAGGTTTCCAATGTATACTTTCAAAACACATTTTTGGCAGAGACTCCATAGTAATACTAAAATATTTAAATTTCTGAAAAGTAGTTTGTTTAAGTATTATCTGTTTAAGTATTATCTTATTGTTTAAGTATTATCTTCTTGATATGTCACAGGGAAAAACTGATCTGTTCCTGCAGTAGTTTAAACCAAATCAGGATTGAAGGAGTTTATTGATTTACTAATGACTCGTAATTAACCTCCCTTCAGGATCAATATCAGCCTTGCTACGAACACACCCCAACACCAGACACTTGTGAAATGTTAATAATTGTTAGTGCAAAAGGAACACACACATTCAGGGAGAAATAAGGAAGTGTAGCAGTGATCAGACAACCTGTCAAGGATGACAGAGGGAACAAGAAAACAATCCCAAACTTAAAGAAGAGCCCCCTCTTTAACCTCTGCAAGCACTTTCCCTCCATCTTTCCAAGAAGCTCGTTAGATATTAGATTACTTTGGTTTTAGACAAGGTTGCTATTCATTTTCACTGTTCACCATTTCATCGAGGCTTATGATACATTACACCACTCAGAAAAAAACAATAAGCTGCAGTACTCCAAACCTGGATTCTACCCGCTGCTTGTTGTGGTAAATGGAAATGTTGTGGCCAGCGCAGGCTGTGTGGAAAGGTGCTGCTGGAGTTTTCTGGATTCTGTGCAGCCCACAAACATCAGAGGCACTTGGAAAGCACTCTCAGGATAATCTAGAAGTTGTCAGTTATTGAGTGGTACCGCTGCTAAGTGGAAAAACAGTCTGATTAGCACTTGATACGAAATCACTCCCAGCATCCCATCAACTACCATTTCTGCCGCTGTCACCGGCTCTTGCATGTATTTAGTTTGACACACTGCATATTGAATATGAGCAATCTAATTTTTTACCCACCTTAAAACTCGGTATGGAGGCTCAGGTTGTCTGTATGGCTCTTGACTGCTTCTTCCTGCAATTTAATGGTGCTTGATACACTCCCATTAAAATATATTTTGTGCTAAACCCCAAATCATTTCCTACTACTGCTTGGCAATGTTCTCACCAGCGTGACATTTATTTGTATTTTGGAGGAAAAATTATCAAGCAAAGGTCTTAGACTGAAACAACACACAGGGTAAAAATGACTGAACGTCACATTTTCCTCTCTCATTGTTTAGGGAAGCAATCCCATCACACTGCAGAGGTTTGTGTTTCTCTGCAGATTGCAAGATCCTACTTTGCTTTCTTAGAGGAAAACTAGGACCCAGAACTGCTGTTTCTAAATTGCTTTGAAAACATCAAATTTCAAGATGAGCTTTGGTCATGACTTAAAATATAACCCATAAAAGCCAGTGATATCATACAATCACACATTGGGGAATATTATCAACATTTTTTCTGGATTATACCATGACTCCATTGTAGAGATGTCCATAGAAAGACATAGGATACATTATTCCTAAATAAGGAAATAAACCCACTTATAACTATATTCAGCACTGTTGCCAGTGGTAGGTGGATCAGGAATACCTCAAGAGTATGGATGGGGAGAGAGCTGGGACATGGTATATAGACACACTTTTTATTCTATTTTTTTTTAAATTAAGAAATGGTCCCACTGTCTTTAACAGTATTGATTCTGAATTAAGTAGATTTAATAATTATTAGGTAAATTTAGTTCAGAAAATAGTCAGTGCCAGAGGAGAAATAAACCCTCAATAAACCCTCACAAAGATTCTAGTTTTAGAGTAATGAGAGGCTCTAAGATGATTTCCAGGAGTCTAATAGTTTTCCAGAGACAGTGGCATGGATATGACAGATCTGCCATGGTTCCTCTGTTCATCCATCTTAGTGAAAGGTAAAGGTTCCTAAAGTGATAGATGCTAAATTAGGTTGTTCTGCATTTTTCTGAACCTTTTAAGAAGGGATTTGATGCTGTGGTTGAGTAATTTTTAAGACCATATGGAATCACTCAATTTACACCTGCCACAAACCTTGACACCTAAACTGTTTTCCCTAACAAGCAAATATTTGTGAGCCATTGAAATCCCATCATTCTTCTGAAGATAATGAAAATAGAATAGCAGAAAAACCCTTTAAAAAGGTTATGCTCAACTGTTTCTTATGAGCTTGAAAAACTGTAAAACAAAATTATCGCTCGAGTACAAGTTTAGTACAAGAAATAGTAAATAAACTCCATTCCTGTCTTGATGTTGCTCCAGGCTTGTTTAATATCAGGTGGATAACTATAGAAATGGACTGGGTGTACTTCAGTAAGAGGGTTTATAGGTGTCTTACAAGGGCACAAATATTGTCACATCTTCTTCCAAGATAGAATTTTGTGTTTCTTCATAACGTATGTGATATGTATTTTCTCCAGTCTTAACTAAAATCATATGTTGTATTTCCCAGAGTTCATGTGGTAATGCATTTTAGAGGATTTTTGCATATTTAAAATGAATAAAAGATGTGAAGGCAAATTAATGTCATATCTCACCAAAACAACGAAAAAAACAAAACTATAAAGTGAACAGCGGGAACTCTGCTGTAAATGGATAACGATAAATCATATTTTAAAAAAAAAGAAAAAAAAGAAGTGCAAATTGCTGAGAAAACATGTTGAATACTTCCTGGAGATCTTAGCAGGCAAAAACCAGAAGTCAAACACAAAATTAATTTTCCTGGCACCTTCCCCAACATCCTCAGGTCCCTTTAACCCTTGCCCTCCCCTCAGTGCTGCTTTGTGCTGCATCCCCCCCTGCAGTGGTGGTGGCCGGTGATGGATGGGAAAGATCTGAACGAGTCTCACAGGGTGACAGAGCTGACAAAATGACAGAATGCTGGATGCACTGAATCTTTTTTCCAGTTCAGAAGAGAGAGAAGCTCATGGCTGTAGCCTCGGCAGCATCATTAGCCTTTCACGTGTCTCCCTCTTGATGCCGCACGTTCGCTAAGAGTGACTCAAAATGAGCCAAGATGGTGGGCGTGAGAAACATTTTAAAATTATATTTTAATTAATTCTTCAAAAGTTTATTGATTGAAACCCAGATTTGGGGTTAAATAAGTGGTTTCTTCTGGAAAACAACTGGAAAAAATGCTCACTCAGTTTGTATTTTCCAAATGTCTTGGCCTTTATAAAGACAGAAGCCTAAAATTTAAAGCCTCAAATCTGAGATAATTTCCTGAGTAAAAAAACCTCAGGTCAGTAGGAAGTGCTGGGTTCTCATGGCCCTCTCCAAGCTAAAACTGAATGTTTAGGAAATGCTGATACATGGACAGAGAAACAAAATTTTGGAGTTTTAAATCTGGCAATTAAGTCAAACATCTAATTTTGTTTGTTTGTTTGTTTTGATTTTTCTTTATCAGAGTAATGAATCTTTGGGGCATCTGCTGATTTATGAAATAATTAGACGGCTTTATAGATATATATTTATGGTTTTTAAAGCAGTGGGTCCATCTCTGGTTATTTCTGGTCTGCAGAAAGATCATATTACTGATGTGATGATTCCCTCTTTTCCTCTCTGTTACAGACACACAAATGACTGGATTGATCAGAAAGATGCTACACTTTCATGTAAAGTTGGGAAGAGCCTAAGTGTCCCTCTGACAGACAACAGCCCTTATGGAAAACCCAGGCAAACAAACTGGGCCCAAACAGTGCATATGAAATATTTCACCTAGAAACCTGCCACTAGTGAGCAGCAATTTTGTCTGTCTTGGAAGAAAGAAGAATAAAAAAAAATCAGTCTGGATATAATCTGATTTTTTTTCTCTCATGTTAATATTGAAAGTACTTAGAACAATACACTGGACACAGTTATGCTGCTGATACATGTATTCTGTCATCAATGGCAGAGTTTAATGTATGGAAATCTCAATATTATGGCGAGTTTTTTTTTTTGAAAGGCAGTGAAGAAAAGGAAAGGAAAAAAAAATAAGAAGAGGAGGAGATTACTAATTCTTCATAAACATTTGAAAGTGTGTCCTGCCCAGACCATCAATCATTTGAGTTTTGCAGTGTGGTATATTGCTAATGAAATGCTAATAGTTTGCTACTTTGCCCTGTGCACTGGGACTAATCTCGCATTGATCTGAGGAGGCAGCAAAGCAATTGGCTGCACAGATTTCCTCTGAAAGTCATTTCTGGGAAGTCCAACAATTATAAGCAATTCTTGTGCAATTATAGTAATTACTTAGGGGTCCTATTACCTCAAGGACATTTGTAAACATTCCTTACTCCTAATTGTAACAGGAACAGTGCTAATCACTACAGCACATCTATGTACTCCTAATTGAATTACTGGCATGGCCGATACACAGAAGGGTGGAAATAAACCTTCTGGGTTCTGACTTGTCTTCAGACTCAGCTAGAGGAAAGTCATGAGCCATCCTGCTAATCATGGTTTATGATGGTTTATGATTATTTTCATCAAGTACCCAAAAAGGGTTTCTCCACACACCCCACCTCTAACGTGATCAGTCGTACCCATCTCTCCAAGGGTGACAGGTCAGAGTCTCCAGAGCAAACAGCCAGGAACATGGAAATAGGCTCTTTTTAAAACATTGTCTGAAACACCACTGTCACAAATCTGGGATTTGGGAGGGGTGGGGGGGCTGAGAGTAACTTTCATGAAACATGACGGATGTGCCGAGTAGTTGCATCTCCCACCCAAGATCGTACAATTGCTACCGACCTCTTCCCAGGGAATGAGTGCAGATCCAGAGGCACAGCTGCACTTTAGTGGGGTACCTTTTCAGAAGTGCATCTTTGTGGATGCTGTCTCTCAGGCACATGAAGTTCCATGGCTGTGATAAGGCTGGCTTGCTTACAGCAGTGTTAGTGTTATTCAAATGACTCCCCTCTCTGTTCCACGTAAGTGCACAGTAATGAGATCTCCTGCAGCACAGCGCTCTGGAATTGGGAGTTTCCACGGGTCATAAGTCTTGTTTTGCATCTCTGTCAGCTGGCATTTGTCACCTGTTTCCATTCTGCACGTTGATCAGCCTGCTTTCACCACTGAGCCAAGGAAACATGAAACCAGCAGGTTTCAGGAGTAAAATTGCAGTGCTGGGATATTTCTATTCTGTCTTTCAGCCTCAGCTTTGGAGCAATCAGAAATCTTTTGACTCTGAAGCCCAGTTTCAGAAGCAAAATAGAATTTTACACAAGGATATTCTCGTGGAAGATGCCAGTGCTGGGCTGAGATGATTGGTGGTGGTTGGCTCATCTAAACCAAAGCATTCAGCACCAAGTGCCTCTCGTGACTACATCTGACCCCGTGGCTCAACTTGACAGTATCTCACTCTTCCTGTGCATTAGGGGGGAAAGCTACTTAGTAAGGAAATGTGTTTCCTAAATATGATCATAAATAAGATTTAAAACAAAAAAATAAGCTCACTCTTAAAAATAAATTAACATAAACTATTAATGAGCCTAGATGAGGAGTGCTGACAAAAGCAAGATCAGAAGAAGAGCTCTTTGGACTCTACATCTGTGAGCAGGCAACTGAAATACAGAGGTTTTAGGCTGCAACAATCCAATGGCAAAGCCACTGGATCATTTTTGCTGTTGAGGCAGTGGATAACAACTGTCAGGCTACAGCCCCTTAGCAGAATACGTCTGACTTATGACTTTGATACAAAAATAGGCTATGGAATATAGGGAGGACTAAACTAAAACAGAGTTGCTATCAGCCTCAGATACGTCTCCTCAGACAATATCACACCTATCTTATCAGTATTGTTCATTCCAGTTAGGTGAGGTGCTGCAGCATTTCCTGAAGCACTTCTATAGTGCTGCTGAAGCCAACGATACTCCTGTATTTCAAATCAAGCACATGCTGAAGCACCTTGATGATGGGTCTAAAAGACACTCAGAAACATAAAAAGTACCTCGCTAAGAGGAAGAATTTGGCACTTTTAACCGTTTCTAGCAGACCACTCTCCTTTCCAA